CTAAACCCTAATCTCCCAATCCTCTCAGTTCCAGATCTCAATCCCTCTAAAGGCCTAGGCCGATTCTCTATCTTTCTCTTCTCAAATCCCTAATTCTGTTCTTAATCCCTAAATCCCAATTCCCGATAGAACTCTAATCCCAGGTTCTATCATTTGGTATCAGAGCCAACATGATCTCGTCACAGCTCTCTGATCCGGAATTGGCTCAACTAACGCGACAGCTCCATCAATCCCTCATCGCGCTCGACCGAGAGGCGCAGGAGCAAGGTTGGGTGACGGCAGCCGAGCCGCTGTGTTGTGCGGCGCCGACCGAGGCGGACGCGGGGGAGCCCGGGGGAACTTTGGAGGCCGTCGGCGAGGCTTCTCGCGAGGCGACGGTTGGCGAATCGACTGCTGCCCTTGCAGTAGTTCGGATAGATGAGGGACCCAAGGCGGGGTCGAATGACGTCGTTCCCATGAGGATGGCAGAGGCGGAGGAGGAGATTCCGGCTGACGCAAGTTTCGGCGTGGAGGCAAAGGTGACGGTGCTGGAAGGAACCGCCGAGGAGGAGGAGCCAAGAAGGCCAAAAGATGACTCAAATCCTCCTAGCCGTCGGCGGAACTCTTTGGTGCTTGAACGAAAGACGGATCCGAGGATTCGCGCGTACGTTCTGGGCATGCCAAGGAATATGATTCCAATGGCGACATTGGTCACCGAGTAGATGAAGCAGGAGTTGGAGTTGGGGTCGGAGGTGAGTGGCGGGTCAATGGGCTTACCTTTCCTCAACCTGGTGAATTGGTCGTTGCCAAAGGATGAGAAGCAGACGGAAGGCAGCGGTGGTGACCGTCATCCACGCGAGCAGCCGACTCTCTCTTCCTTCCCTGAAGCGCATCCGCAACAATTTGTAGTGGGCCAAAGGGTTGCATTAGCAACGGACCATTGGGTGATTGACTAGCTCGCATGGGGACAGGATTTGCAATACAAAGCATATCGCCCATTCTCTCCCATCCCATTCCCAATAGAGTTTGGGCCCAAGAATTTCATTGGAACTTTTGGAAGAAAAATGGGCTACTATTGTTAGCCTATGAGGAAGAGTTTATTAATTTGGAGGAAGGGAGCTGTCCCATAGGATCCAACAAAGCAAGGTGTCTAAATGAAGTGGTGGAGCACAATTGGAAGAAAAGGAAGCGCAAGAAATGGAGCAGTCGATGCGCGGAGCGTGTGAAAAGGGTGAAGACGTGGGACGAGTTGATCAACCTTGAGGGCAAGGTTGGTCTCAAGGAGGAGGGGATGATGGAAACCAATTTCCCTAGAGTTTCTATAGTTATTTTTATTATTAATATTAGGATATTATTAGATATGGTTAGTAGTCTTTTAATCGTATTAGGTTTATTATTTGATTCCTATATAAATGTACTTTGTGGTTTCATTTTAATCAATAAGAAGAATATTAAGAAAACTCTCCTAAACCCTAATCTCCCAATCTCTCAGTTCTAGATCTCAATCCCTCTAAAGGCCTAGGCCGATTCTCTATCTTTCTCTTCTCAAATCCCTAATTCTGTTCTTAATCCCTAAATCCCAATTCTCGATAGAACCCTAATCCCAGGTTCTATCACTTGTCACCATAATACCACTTAGACGTCGGCTTCGCATAAAAGAAGTCTTTAAACCAAGGAGAATCCAACTTGGGAGACCCTTTTACAAATCCGAACACCTTGTCCCGCCTCCCGAAAGACCACACGTTAGACACCCGCTGAAGCCCGTATAAGAACCGAAAACCGGCAAAGGTAGGTACGCTTTGTTGGCAGGCGAACCGGTAAGCGCAGGCGTGAAAAATAATCGTAGGGGATAAACGCCCTAGAGTGCAGTTTAAACACAGCAGGGTCTGTGTAATGAGAGGATCAAGGGGGAAGCGTAATCCTAACTTAAATTGCTCGGTGTAAATCGTCACCCATCCTTTCGGGCACGTACCAGCTCTCGAGTTCGGGGACGGGGAGGCATACTTCCAATCGGTAGGCAGTCGATAAGTTCGGAGGCGGATGAGCACAGTAGCGGGCTTCAGCTTGCTGTACCTATCCGGCCCCCGATCGAATGCGCTCGCGGGGATATCACTTTTTCCCCACATGTTCGCATGAAAGCGCACCAAATACTCGCTATCTTCCACCGCTCGGTAATCCGTTTCTGAGGTATCTTCGGAAAGTTCCAGAGACGGCGAGTCAAGACGCTCGGCAAACATCGAGTCATCAATGATCAGACCCTCCTCAGTGCTCACTCTCTCCAATGAAACGTCGAAATTGGCCAAGTTATCCCCAACGGCGGACGCGTCACCCCTAGCAACTATAGATTCTACGCCTAAACCCAAAGTAACGTCCGTCAATTCAAACGAACCGTCCCCAGCCCTACCAAACAAAAGCCGTTCGTCGTCTGACCAAGATCCACCAAAGTCCACGTCTACCCCACTCAGGTCCCAGTCAATATTAGACATACTAAAGGGCGATAAAATGTTAAGATTAAGCATACCTTGAGCGGCAGCAGTGATGGGATCCGAGATCGTCTCCGACGATTCAAGGTTTATCGGAGAAGTGGAAGGGTGAACGACGAGGGCGACACTAGTAGTAGCGGCGGCGACGGTAGGGGTAGCGCCGCCGGGATTAGTTGCGGCGGCGGAATTCCCTACCAATGACCTTTTCCGGCCCGGAGAAGACCCAGAACCGGTCGACACCGGCAAATTTGTGTCGGAATTACCGCCAGACATTATGAGGCAGTGCCGGAGTTCGTATCGTCCACAGCGAGCTATGATGAAAGAAGAAAGTTACACAGCGTCGTCGAACGATGAATTGGAAAGAGCATAACGCAGAAGACATACCGCCAGACACGCGACAATTAGTTGAGCGACAAAACCCCGAGGCGCAATGCACCAGATTTGGCGGCTGGAGGGAGAGGTTTGCACAGGGCTCTGGGATCACTTAGTTATCCCCGCCCCAGACTTAAGAGTCAGTGAAACACCCTAACCCGACCGGGTACTACTTTTACTAAAATGCCCTTGATAAACAAAATACTCAAGTCTTAAATTGCAGCGGGAAAAAATTTCAGAAATAAAATACTGAAACACACACTTGTAGTTCGAAGCAAAACCCTAACAAGTGGGCAAATTAAACTCAAACTTTAAATCGCAATCTGTTCTCCAGTCTATACTCATAATCATAAAATGTAAATAACTAGGTAGTCTCTGTCGTTGCTGCTACTGAAAATCCTAACTATGCATCCTCCGCGACGCTTGCACTGCCCTCCTCTAGCTGGTTGCTCTGGAACTTTTCCTCTCGAACTCGTTGCTCTCTAAATGCTCCTCTATAGGGATGGCAACAAAACCCGAACCCACGGGTACCCACCCGACCCAATCCGGTCAACGCGGGTAAAATCCATGTTGACGGGTTTTGGGCCGGGTTTGGGTTTAAACCCGTTCACTATTCACCGGGTTGGGTTGGGTTTGGGTTTAGGTAAACCCGCCCCGTGGGTACCCGCCCACCCATATAATTAATTTTTTCGATATATTTAATATTCTAAACAACTAATCTTATTTATGTTTCTGGAGACATGTCTAATTTTTTCTTTTTAATTGTGTAGAATGAAGTTGATGTTATGGAGTGGAGAGTAAAGAAACTTAATTGAAAGGAAGAAGCTTTCAATTAAACATGTTATTTATGGATAATTTGTGATTTGCTTTAATTTTCTTGAGTTTTCTAGATTGGTGTTGAACAATTTGTATAGTTAATTTGTGATTTGCTTGAATTTTCTAGAATGGTGTTTTATATATGGATAATTTGTATTGAGAGATTGATATTTGACTTTAATTTTGATAAGAACTTGTAATTGTAAATTTTTTACGACAAAACCCGTGGGTACCCATGAACCCGTGGATACCCAACGGGTTGGGTTGGGTTTGAGTTTTTCAAACCCAGTGGGTTTTACCCCGGGTTTTTTTCAAAGATAAACCCATGGATTTGGGTTTGGGTTTGGCAAAACCCGACCCAACCCGACCCATTGCCATCCCTACTCCTCTAGCTAGCTGCTACCGATCTGGTTCTCGCTCATTCCCTTACTAAGGCCTGGTGAGTGAGATGGGGTCAGTCTACGCCCTTACGTTTTTTATACTTCTAATACTTGAGTACTTTACTTAAACACTTAACTGGTGGAAGTTGTTTGTACTTCCAATCTTAAAATCTTAACTCTTAAAATTTGAGGGAGTTGAAGCTACTCTCCTCACTTAAAGCTCAAATCTTGACTTAAATACTTGACTGACATGGGGATCCCTCACTAGCTAGTCCGGTTGCCAACTCATACGTATGAGAAGCCATCCAGGCTTTCCTTAAACTTAAACTTAGTTAGGGAAGTCGTAACGATTCATCCCCCTAACATCTTAAATTTATCGTGGTGGCTCTTCACCACGATTCTCAAGAGCATAATAACTGCTCATCTTAAATATCTCAAGAGCATAACTGCTGCTCATCTCAAAATGTCTCAAAAGGCAACGGACTGGCGCTAGTGACTAAAAACACTTAAAACGACTTCACTTTCTTGAAGGTGAGTTACTTCTTAAAAAAAAACTTGTTTCTTAAACTCTAACAATAACTCAAACATAACGCTTTAAGGTAAATAGCACAAAATCACATCAAATAGCTCAAAATCACCTCAAATATAGCTCAAGCAAAGCACAAATAATCAATCATAAACATAACCAAGCAATGGTAACCAATTCGCTAAAATACTTAAAAACATAATACTTAAAAGAATATATGTAAGGCGTAGAATTTACCCCCTTTACACTCGCCTGACTGACTGGCTGGCTCGAGATTTCTTCCTCCGACAGCACTACTCGTTACTAAGCTCACTCTCCGCAACCCACATCAACCATGCATATTAGCTCACGTAGAAGCTTCCTCTTCATCCCATCCATGAGGTGAGCCGTGAGCCACCATATCCTCATAAACAGTTTCACTGCCGATCAATCCACCTCCACTTTGTGCCAAAACTAATAGGCCATCAATTATAATTTCCCATAAACACCATCATCGACCCTAATCCCTTTCCTTTGCTTCACCTCACTTATCCCAAGACCAAATAGTCTCTTTTTACTGCAGCATAAGAAGCCATGGCTTTCAGCTCAACGGTAAGCACCCTTGGATGAACCAATTCTGATCAGATCAACCGAGCATAATACTTAATCAGCCTAATAATCTATTAATCTTCCCTTTTGCAGGGTCTTTGGAAACGTTCACTGAATTCTCTCGGAGGCGGCAAAAACACAAACACCTTCGCTATATCAACTCTGCCCAAGATGAAACCATACTCCCTAGCGGCGGATCGTCATCAATTCGTGAGGAAGTCATCCTCGTCGTCCTCGTGGTGGCCGCCGAGGGGAGAGTACGCGCCGGTGTACGTGGCGCTGGGGTTCATCGTGCTGTCGGCGTCGATGGGGCTGCACATGGTGGCGCACCAGATATTGTACAGCCCGTCGGTGCGGGTGAAGAAAAGCTGGGGGAGACTTTGCCAGAGATGGTGGAGACGGAGAAGGAATTTTGGGTTTCAAAGAAGATGGGAACTTGCATCTTGCGGCCAAGTCTCTCCAACTTCTTTGTCGAATAGAAAAGCCTAGAGGTAAGGGATTTAGGGTTTCATTTTAATGAATAATAATAATATTATTATTATTATTATTATTATCCCTAATCTGAGGTTGTAACTCTTTGTACGTAATTGTCGATCCAAACGTCCGGTCGAACCTTAATCGAACCCTAACCTGAAAATGGGGTGTTACATTTCCTCCCCCCTTAAAACAATTTCGTCCCCGAAATTAGAACGGTGTACTTGGCCTTTGGACTAAAATACCTTGCAATTGATAGTGGTTGTCTCGACTGGAATATAACATTTCCTCCCTCCTTAAGAAAAATTTTTGACCCCAAAATTTGTTCATCGCTACAACCTAAGGCCTCACTTCAGGAAATCCTTCTACTACTGGGATGTATACTTCCTTTACTTGGTACGACCTTGAGCTATGAACCCTTTCCTCCAATTCGTATGCTTCTTGGCCAACTCATTACTCGCCCCACTTTTCATAAATCTCTTGCTCAAGCTAGTTACTTGCTCAATGCGTCTATGGCAATATGGCACTCTCCCTTCTTAAATGCCTCTGATGCTGTAATGGCTTCGTAGCTCATATTGTTCTCAACTATTTGTCTTGGGTCTCTATTTAGGATTCCTTAAGAACTTAAAGGGAATAAATTATTAGCCAGCCCTATTCAAGTCATGACTCGTCGTAACTCCAGCTCATACCAGACCCAGACCTTGAACTTTGTCCTCCCTATCTTGACTGCTGACAACTCTCGTTGGTATAGAATGTTTGACCTGCTTACTGATTAACTCCGATGCTGATTCCTAGGTATCGCTTCTTCTCCCTTTATAGGCCTCGTTATTCTCCTCTTTGATAATTCAACTTGATACTCACTCTTGATGCCTTACTCACCATATATGGTGCCTTTAGCATGGGAAAATCCCTTACATAACCCTATTAATGTTCTTAATACCCCTTTCAACCCTAAGGTTACTAATGGCGGTTTAACCTCCATCTTGTTATATCGCAAAACTCTTTTAACGTAACCTCATATGTGGTTGACCACATATATCACCTAGGTCCTTGTACCTTATAACTTTGAATCTCTTACTTTCTTCCAAGATTCTTCGTCTCCTCCTTTTTTCCATCAACTGAATGGTCATCTCCTTTGTTACTTCTTGCTTTACCCTGAAACCTCACACTACTACTCTTACCCGAGAGATTGACACCTTTCACCAGCATAGGCAATCTTGATTTCACTTTGGGGTATTCTAGCAGGTTCCCTAAACTTTTATCCCTCTTACTTCATTACTCGTGAATCTTCTTCTTGATGTTCCTTTCTAGGTTTAAATGTCCCTTGTTCGCGACGTAATCCTCCAGGTGTCCATATTCTCTTCTCACTTATGTACCTTGACTGACAAGGTTCTCCCTTCGACTATTCTGGCAACGATTATTCCGTCTTAAAATTGATCGAAATTTCACGATGGAATTCCCTAGGATCAATTGTTATCCACTGGTAGTTAACCTAATGCTTCCTTGTTGTTTGTTGTATTCTTGCTTCCGCCCGTCTTAACTATCTTCCTTGACGTATACATCGCCAGGTTGATGCCAACCATTTTTTCTATAACTTCCCATGGTGTTCTTCTTGTTTCTTTACTTTTACTACAACCAAACTACAACTCTTCTGTTGTTGCTTGTACTATATTTGGTCACCAACCTCTGTTGAGTATCTTGTTGCTGTTGTTTTAGGTCACAACTTCCAATGGTGGCTTGCCCTTGCTAACCTTTAACATAACTCATTACATGTCTCTTTTGTTGGTCGATTTTGCACATAAACTTAGTCTCTTAGTTAGGATTCTTAGTGGCTTAACTAAGCGTGCCTGTTTCATCCTTTACTAGTTGTCTCCGCTGGAGCCCTCCTACTACGTCGCGCCCACTCAGAGTGGGGCACCTTGGATAAGGTAACTTCTCTTTTTCCTCCTTCTCTGTAATGCTTTTCCTCATCGTACTCCATTATGCATTTTCTTGAACCCGAGTCACCTACACATATTCTCAATCCTTCATCGAAACTTCCAAATGCTTCCTCGAATTCTCTGCCATTCACTAGAACATTTATTGAATGTTCCACTTACTTGTCTATACTCGGTTGGCTTAATGTCTTACTCTATAGCTAGTCCCGAGACCTTATCTCTTAGCCCTCTAGTTCCAACTTAGTAGAGAGGTTCTTCCTTCTATCATCCCTCATGTACCCTAGGCGGCTAGGTGCTCCCTCCATTTAAGATAGGACTATCCCATAACAGGGCATCACGAACTCTGCATTCCCCTTTCAACTATCCCAACGACCTCCCGACCCGACCTTTCATGATCTGGGAAGTTTGTAGGGTCTCTAATATACCAATCCATCCTATTTCTAGCTTGGCATTGTTAACAAGCACAATGTTATTCTTGATCCAACGAGTTCGAGAGGAAAAGTTTCAGAGCAACCAGCTAGAGGAGGGCAGTGCAAGCGTCGCGGAGGATGCATAGTTAGGATTTTCAGTAGCAGCAACGACAGAGACTACCTAGTTATTTACATTTTATGATTATGAGTATAGACTGGAGAACAGATTGCGATTTAAAGTTTGAGTTTAATTTGCCCACTTGTTAGGGTTTTGCTTCGAACTACAAGTGTGTGTTTCAGTATTTTATTTCTGAAAATTTTTCCCGCTACAATTTAAGACTTGAGTATTTTGTTTATCAAGGGCATTTTAGTAAAAGTAGTACCCGGCCGGGTTAGGGTGTTTCATTTTAATGAATAATAATAATATTATTAATATTATTATTATTCCTAATCTGAGGTTGTAACTCTTTGTACGTAATTGTCGATCCAAACGTTCGGTCGAACCTTAATCGAACCCTAACCTGAAAATGGGGTGTTACAGTCAGTCGCCGAAATTCGGAGGCTTTCCCCGCCTACGGGACAATTGTTGGGCCAACGAGGATAACTAAGCAAGCCCATGTCATAAGCTGGCCCACTATGCTGCATAAGGGAGGCCCAATGGCATAAGAGCCGGCCCAATTTTTGAGTGTAAGGCCCTATAGAAATACCACCGGAAGCGGGAAATTACCCGAGAGCGTGCATAGGGAAGGTAAACTTGATAGGACAGTAGTAGCGGTAATCATGGCTACTCAGACATCATTAAATGCAGTCGGAGGCGTAAGTACGTAAAGAGCACGTCAGGTACACGCCCAGCAGAGCATTAAATGCTCACACCAACTCTCATCGACTATAAATAGAGGTCCAACCACATCATTTAATGGTTTCTCTCTCTATCTAAATACTAACTTGAGAGTTGGAGAGTATCCGAGGCTCCTGCCTCCGGATCCTTCTTGCAGGGGAAGGTGAACGCTTGCGTCAGAGGAAAGCGTGATCTCCACAGAAACGGTCTCCAATACGCCTTATAACTTTCCGGACTTAGACACTTAACATACTAACTAACGTTCGAAACCATCTCTAACCTCGCTGTCTATGTTTGTCATGACACGATATTAACGGGTCGTTTGGATGCATCCTTTTGGTTCTATGGTATTTCGAATCAAAATGATGCATTATTTTGCTATGTGGCATTTCATGTGGTATTTCATTTTGAAATGTGGTAATTGGTGTAATTGTGTTGTTTGGATAAAACATTCAAATATTGCGGTATTTCACCACTTAAAGAAGGGATGAAGTGAAAAAAGAAGTTGGGAGATGATGTATTTGAAATAACTAGGAGGTGGGTAGGTATTTCAAATAACTCACGATGAGTTATTTCAATTGACTCATGGACAAAATACCACATTCTACTTTATTTTTGCCAAACAAGTTATTTTGGTTGAAATACTTCATTCTGAGTTATTTCGACCAAATTACCTCATCAAAATACTGCATCCAAACGACCCGTAAGGTAAACGTTAACTAAACCAAACACACCATAAAGAAAAGAAATCGTAGTTGAAGAAATTTGCAAAAACTAACCTAGAGAGTAGAGACAGACAGACAGACAAAACCACCTCTGACAAAGAGAGCCCTCCATTCCCCGTGATCCAACGCACCACCAGTCCACCGTTAAATAACTAAAAAAGTAAAATCCAAAATCTCCCGCTCGCTCGCACGTACCAAACCACCCTCCGCGCCTCGCACGTGCCGTCCTCCATCCACGTGCGCCGCACCCTCTTCCTCTCCAGTCCACACCACACTAAACACAACACTACAGACCAGACCACCTTTCCTTCGTTATCACAGCCATCGACGCCTCTTCTTCTTCATGTAAAACCTTCCTTCCGATCCCATCTCTCTGGATCGTCCAAGTTGCCGCCGGAAGCAGGAAATTCTCTTGTCTTTCCTCTAAAAGCTCCTCAATACGCTCCTTTCTCGCCGTCCCCGCCTTTTTGTGACTTAAACAACCGGCGATGGAGGCAATACTAGCTCGGGCGCTGGAGTACACCCTCAAGTACTGGCTGAAATCCTTCTCCAGGGACCAGTTGAAGCTTCAGGGCCGGACTGTCCAGCTTTCCAATCTAGGTTGGGTTTCCACATTTGCTTTCTTTCAAGCTCTACTGTTTCTTTCTTCTCTTGTTCCCACTGTTTGTATTGGTCAGAAATTGCTGATCTCGTTTGAATCCTTACCCCCCCTGCCTCGATAATGTCGTGAATTCTGCATCCTTCTACGCCGTGATCTTGTTACCACATCAATGGAGGTGAAATTGGTGCTGATTTTTTGAAGTTTCTCTATGTTAAAAACTCTGTGGTTTTAGATATCAACGGCGACGCCTTGCACGCTAGTATGGGACTTCCACCGGCGATTAATGTGACCAAGGCAAAAGTCGGGAAATTCGAAATTATTGTCAGTATTCCCTTCCTCCTCCTTCTCCTCTTTTATTCCCTGGATCTCTGATTCTCGCTTAATTGGGATCGTTGCTCTTTGGGGAAATTCCAAGTGAAGTTGGGAAGTGGTGGGAGGCTTCTTTCTGTGGTCTGCTTGATGTTTTAGCAACGTATTGTTGTATATTCTGATCAGTAGTTATCCCATGGTTGTTGCATTTATTGATCTAAATATGCTTCTCGAACTAATCTGTGTATCTCTTGGCCATTCATGTTTTCCCTCAGCTACCCTATGTGAGCAATGTGCAAACTGAACCAATTGTCATGCAAATCGATAAGCTTGATTTGGTTTTCGAGGAGAACCGGGATTGGGATAATTCTAGCAAGACTCAAGAGTAATTCACCTAAATTTCGGAGTAAATTCAGATTCACCTTTTTACTTACTTAGTGTGACATTTCTGGTTTCCTTTCTTTTACAGTCCTTCATCTTCCTCTAGCACCAGCAAAAGTAGTGGCTACGGTTTTGCTGACAAGGTAAAGTGAATGCCTTAGAAATATATTTCCAGTTATTGTTTGGGCTCGCTTTGGTGTATGTCTGATGATATAACTGCTGAAGAAGAGACCGAAGAAAGGTAGCACAGGTTACAGATGCCACAACTGATATTTAACCTAAAGCCTTGACTTTCCTAGATACTCTATGTTCTTAAAATTTTGAAAATTCGAAAATGCTTGATTAAGTCCTGGAACTTGGATTTCATAGGAATTGTAGAGAAGTAGTTTCGATATCCACATTTCATCTATGTTCCTTCTTCTGATGTTTTTGCACAGTTGTTATCTACTAAAATAGATGGTGTAGTTGTAACTTTGAATAATATTTGGAATTTCTGTTATGCTGGATGTGATAAGATTTTCCTTTTCACAATGTTAACTCATTTTCTTTAATGCCAGATTGCAGATGGAATGACAATCAAGGTTAGCACTGTGAATATTCTACTTGAGACACATGGGGGTGCTCGTCGAGGGGGAGGAGCTGCTTGGTAAGATCTTGGTTGTTTATCATTTTTTATTTGTCATGACTGGAACGCTTTATATGCAATACGGACTTGGATTTGTAGATTCCTTCTTATTATTGCTTGAACGAATTTGTCCATGCCTTGCTCATTTTGTACTCATTTTTGGCCAAAACTAAACTTTGAATGACAATTTGCTAAAACTCTTAACATTCTTTTCTCACTTGCTTGTTAGGGCTCCGCCAATGGCATCTATCACCATACGTAACCTTGTGCTTTATACCACTAATGAAAACTGGGAGGTACTCAACCACTTTCTTGCCATGCCTTTTGATGGAATCTTTCCTTAACAAATCCAATTGACCAGACAGTCCCATATGACAGGTAGTAAATCTCAAGGATGCACGCGACTTCTGCAATGACAAAACATTCATATATGTTTTCAAGGTAGTATGGAAGCTGCTGAAGCAAGCAAACATATCCTTCCCTGTTTAATGTAGGCAGGTTCTATTAGTTGTGGTCGGTCATTCTGTTCCAGATTTTCTAGTATTCTTTTTGGGGCAAATTTTGTGTGTTTTGAAGAGCTCCTATGTTAAATATCTAATATTGCCAGTTATCTTTGCTCAACAGAAACTGGAATGGGGATCTTTATCTATCGATCTCTTGCCTCATCCAGATATGTTCACTGAAGCCAGTATAGAACACTACCAGGAGAAAAAGAACCAGAGAGATGATGATGGTGCAAAGCGAGTTTTCTTTGGTGGAGAACGATTCCTTGAAGGGATATCAGGCGAGGCTTATGTAAGATGTTTCCTCCTGCATGGAATTTACTTGAACTTTACATTGTTCTGGACTTCTTACAATGAACATTATCCACATCAAACTGAAATTCTGGTCATTTTCTTGTCCTGACAATAATATTTGCATCAGATCACACTCCAGCGGACTAACCAAAATTGTCCTCTTGGTCTAGAGGTTCAACTGCATGTTACAGAAGCTGTCTGCCCTGCACTGAGTGAACCAGGTACATGAGGTTATTTGATAGTTGCTCGTTCTTTTGTCCGAACCTTGTAACATCTTGCCTAAATCCTTGAGATGCTTTATGTTCTGCTGTGTCATTAGGACTTCGTGCCCTCCTCCGCTTCTTCACAGGGTTGTATGTGTGTCTTAACAGAGGGGATGTGGATCTGAAAGCCCAGCAGGTCCAAGCTTCTCCTGTTCTTTCATAGTGCCTTCATTGGCTCTTGAATGAATCTACACTAACTACATCTTCTAATGTCACCATTGCAGTCATCCACTGAAGCAGCAGGATGTTCTCTTGTATCTATTATGGTGGACCAAATATTTCTCTGCATTAAAGATTCTGGTTTGTAATTTTCTATGCTGATAATTGCTGTCTTTTTATTTCCATGTACATAATCAACCTAGAGTTTTCTACTAGTATCTTTCTTCTGTACGCATTAATGTTTCCTGATGACTTAACCCAGATGGTCTGTGTACAGTCGTAGAGAATGGGTCAGACTTGTGTTGCAAGGATAATAGTGTTTGAGGGAAAGTTCTGTCGCTGAATAATCATTCACTAATTTAATTTTCTTGCAGAGTTCCGGCTTGAACTTCTGATGCAGTCACTCTTATTTTCACGGGTAGGTTTCATCCAAGTTGTTAGTTTGAAGCATAATCACTTTGTGGAATGGTCGATTAAACTTTCTTTTTGCTCAAGACAACCCAATAACCAGTCAATGATGTTTGTCCTAAAGATAAACTATTACCTTGTTAGCTTAAATAGCATTGTTGGTGCGTAAATTATGAAAGGTATCATGATGTTCCTGTAGTGACTTGGATATTAGTTTCACATCATGTATGAATCAGAATTACTGAAATGCTTTGTGAGAAAAGTATCCAAGGGCGTCCTGTTCAGAACAAGGTGTTATTAACTCATCCCAAGCAGTAATGAAGCACCTAAAATAATTTCCTTCTTGGAACCTGCTCTGAACTTTGATGGTTTGCGTTTCTAAAGTCACTTGTTAGGAAATGTTGGCCTAGAGCCCTGATATTCCTGATGTCTTCGGAAAAATTGTCTGTGTTCTTGGTTATTATCTGTAAAAATTGTGTTGTGTTCATTATTCCAAAATCTTACTTGAAGATTCTTTTGCAGGCAACAGTTTCTGATGGTGAATTTGCCAAAACCTTGACCAAGGTCATGATAGGAGGGCTCTTCTTGAGGTAAGCTTGGCTGGATTTCTTTAATAGCAGTTCTTCACAAAAGTAGCTGTGATTGTTGGGCATGCGCTTTGTATGATCTATTGATAGATTAGTGGATTCTCATTGAGGGTGAAAGGAAATTTCTGTTATCTGATATGATCTTACTTTTCTAATGAGCAAGCCTTGTATCAAGAACTTTCTGAATCTATCTTTTTCCTCATTAAGTTACATGGAAAACCCGTAGCACCCTGCCTTCATTTCATGACCTGCCTGCTGGGACTCTGTCTCGAAGATTAGGGGTTTTTTTTTTTATTGATTAGAGAATTTTGTGGCGTAAAACCAGAATTACGGGAATTTACATTGTAATTAAAAGAATGAGTAGCTTTGTTCCTAGATTTCCGTACCTGGTGGATATGCCAAGATAGCATCAACATTTTTCTAACGATCAAGTGAGCTCTAGCTCAAACATTCATGTAATGGTTCATGTTTAAAGTATAATGATGCAAGGAAAACTGTGGTCTGAATTTTGAAGGTCATGCAATAATGTTCCCCCCTTTGCTGTCGTCATTGTCAGTTGCACTATCTTCTTCATTTTCCAGCACCTAATACTATTTGAGTTGGTGGAACGCAGAGATACATTTTGCCGACCTCCATGTACTTTAGTACAACCATCCATGCTGGCTACTGCTGAAAATGTTACGCAGACGCCTGCATTTGGTATTATTAATCTACCCACTATCACAATAGGGTCAGTTATTTATAGCTTTAGCCATGACACTTAATGTTGAAATTTGTTGACAGCTATGAACTTCTGCCCTCCAATATATCCTCTTGAAGAGCAGCAGTGGCAATTGAGTGCAGGCACTCCTTTGATTTCCCTACATTCTCTTCAAGTCCAGCCTTCCCCAGTCCCTCCTTCTTTTGCTTCTCAGACTCATATTGTTTGCCAGCCTCTCACTGTATGATTTCTCAATCTCAGAGTTACACTCTGTTACACTCTTTATTCTCGGTACCGTTTTTAATTGTTTTATTGTTTAAATAGATTTACCTTCAAGAAGAATCATGTTTGAGGATATCTTCATTCCTGGCGGATGGTATTGTTGTCAACCCTGGGGATGTCTTGCCTGAGATATCAGTGAACTCCATGAACTTCACGCTGAAGGAATTAGATTTTACAGTTCCCTTACCAATGAGTGATTCAAATACTCCTGAAAATGATTGTAGCTCTGGTGGCCAAGGTTCCTTTACTGGAGCAAGGCTTCACATAGAAAACATGTTCTTCTCAGAGTCTCCTATTCTAAAACTTAGGCTCCTGAACCTTGAGAAGGATCCTGCATGTTTTTCTCTTTGGCCAGGTCAACCTATTGATGCCAGCCAGAAAAAATGGACTGCTGGTGCCTCGTGCCTTAGTTTATCTCTTGAAACCACTGCTAGCTTATCCGAGATACCAAAACCTGATGGACCGACTTCAGAACTGTGGAGATGTGTTGAACTAAGAGAGGGATCAGTTGAGGTGGCTATGGTATCCCCCGATGGGAGCCCACTGACAAACATTCCTCCTCCTGGTGGTATTGTGAGGATAGGGATAGCTTGTCAGCAGTATATATCAAACACTTCTGTTGAGCAGTTATATTTCGTCCTGGATCTGTATACATACTTCGGAAGATTTAGTGAAAAGATTGCCTTGGCTGGCAAAGAAAGTAAAGCAAAGAGAGGTCTGATTGAATCGACAAGCCAAAGGCTAATGGATAAGGTTCCAGCTGATAGTGCAGTTAGCTTGAGAGTGAACGAACTTCAACTTAGATTTTTGGAATCGTCTTCTATAAAAGTTCAGGGAAAGCCTCTTGTTCAGTTCATTGGGGATGGTCTCTTCACTAAAGTTATTCATAGAACCCTTGGCGGTGCTGTTGCTGTTTCGTCAGTTCTACAGTGGCAGAGTGTTGAGATAGACTGTGTAGAGACTGAAGATGAGTCAATGATGAGCACTGTTGAGAATGGCCATTTAATAAGTGTTAATGGATACCCTGATCTCAGAGCTGTCCTTTGGGTAAATAAGGAGACCGTGCCGAAATCCAACGGTAAATTTTCTGTGGTTCCTTTTCTAGATGTAAGCATGGAACATATGATTCCTTTCAGTGAAGAGGACAGAGAGTGCCATAGTTTAGGAGTATCAGCCTGCATTTATGGTCTCCGTCTTGGTGGAGGAATGGATTATTGTGAGTCCCTGCTGCATCGGTTTGGGATACTTGGGCCTGATGGTGGTCCTGGGGTGGGGCTATCTAGAGGATTAAAGAATTTATCAATGGGTCCAGTATCAAAACTTTTCAAAGCTTCGCCTCTTGTTGCTGAGGATGTTGGAGAAGGTTCGGATATAAAAAAAATTCATTTGTTTTATATGCCCTGCTGGCACCTTGGCCCTGTGAAACCCAAGCTTCAATGATCAAACGTTTGTCTTCTGCAGATGGAAGTTTGGGGTGTGATAATGAAGCTGGTCTGCTGCAGCTTGGAATGCCAGATGATGTTGATGTGCGTGTAGAATTCAAAGACTGGTTATTTGCTCTTGAAGGTGAACGAGAATTAGCAGTTGGGTCGTCATTTGTTGAGCAGGATAATCTAAGTAGAGAGCAGAGGAGTTGGCACACTACTTTCCAGAGTTTTCTGGTGAAAGCGAAGAGTAGTATGAAGAACGAGCTACGTGGTGAAGGCAATACACATATGCGGAAATATCCTGTAGATTTAGTTACAGTAAGTACTCTCTCTCTCTCTCTCATATATCTTCTCTTTCACAGGGAGCTTTAGTCTTGTAGTATATGAGTTTTTAGCTAGGATGATCAGTGAAGCAGAAGCACTAATGCAGGATTTGCAAGTATTCAATTAAAAATGTCGTAAAAGAAGCATTTGCTCCAAGTGTGCCATTTTTCCTTCTGTCTAATGTTGTTGTCTTGTACTCCTCCTCGATATATGCTCTAACCAGCTTTGGATGTCAATATTGTTTTGGTTGATGTGTTACTGCTTCAATCCAACTAATATAATACGAAGGTTAAATGGGTGTGAACTGAATCCATTAATTCCTATAGTTTATTGTCTTCGAGGGAAGGGGGAGGGGATGGGGCTGTTTATACTCTCGATCACTGTATTAGCATTGCCTAACTATAGTTAATACGAAGGTTACTGAAGCTTGCTATGTTAATTTATGTCATGCATAACCTTTTCCTTGTTACCTTCGACGAGAATCCATCAATTTTGTTCTTATATTCTCGTTCACTGTATTAACAGTACATCTCTTGTAGGTTAGTGTGGAAGGGTTACAGATACTGAAACCACATTCTCAAAAACATGTTAGAGTTTCTGAAAATGGAGAAGTTGTACGGTCACCTGGAGGGTTAGATGTTGAGGTTAGTTTGGTGATGCCAGAGGAAGATGTTGATGACGATGATGATGATGATGATGATGATGACTATCCTATGGACAAGTGGGAAGCAGAGAACGTCAAGTTCTCTGTCAAGCAACCGGTACTTACTTTTTCATTGAGCTTTAGCTCTCTGGTCATTGCTATTATCATTCATAAGAATATCCCCGCTATCATGGTTTTCTTCTGTATTGCAGATTCAGGCTGTTGTCACCAAAGATGAGCTCCAACATCTTGCATTCTTGTGTAAGTCAGAGGTGGATGCCATGGGTAGGATTACTGCTGGTATCCTGAGGCTCCTGAAGTTGGAACGCTCCATCGGTCTGGCCGCCATTGATCAGCTTAGCAACCTTGGTACGAGACTAGGAAAATGTATTCTGTATCTTCAATCAGCCTCTGGAAACCTAATCTCATATATGCTTTCTACCTTTAACTACAGGGAGCGAGGGTTTTGAAAAGATTTTCACTCCAGAAAGGCTAAGCAGAGTGAGTAGCCCTCACAGCTTCGCAACCTTACCAGCGTTGAATCTGAGCAATGGCGTCACCGATGAGAGGAAAACAGAATCTACAGTGCGTTTGCTGGAGGAAGCAGTCGAAGATTCACAAGCTAAATGTGCAGCCATTATGAACAACCTGTCAAGCCCGGAATCATCGGTGCAGAATCTCTCGGATATTATACAGGTATGTCAGAATCTTGAAAGCATGAAAGATTTGCTGATGCAATTACGGACTCGGATTTAGTCACACCAGGGGAATTTCCCAGTACTGTACAGTTTTGTGGAGGGGAAAAAGCAGGTTCAAGAGGATAGAGCTCGGTATACACACTCGATTCTTTAATTTTTTCTGTATATGTATAGAATAGGTATAGATTGGTGTTTGTAACATGTTGCTATGTGGAACCGTGAACACTCAGAGACTTGTAGTATACATTCCTAAATCCTAAGCCTATTATTCCATGGAACCTGTTTCTTTTGTATCCAATCAATTTGAGTGCAATACTGCGAACCTAATCAAATGAAACTCACTTGATTCCACATTTGAATGTGTCAGACAATGAGTAATTGGGGGTTTATTTGTTATTTGACGTTTTATATTATGTCGACTATTTTGGGAATTATTGGGGTTAAATCGGTTAGGTTAAGTCTTTGGGTAGTTATAGGGAATTAGTCGGTTTATATATTCTGTGTTAGGCATAAGTTAGAGTTAAGCAATAACAACAGAATTATTCCCTAAGCTCTCTCTCTCTCTCTATCACAGCCGAACCCCCTCCTCCCCTCTCCAACTCGTCGGCCACCATCCTGGTGCCCGGAAACCTCTTCTCTCAACCCTAATTCCCAAATTCTACCTCATCCCAAATCCCTAATTCTCATACCAATCACGATCCTCAATCGCACACCTAGATCCGTGCTCTTTCAGTGGTATCAGAGCCTGGCTGGTGTGGACCGGGCAGCAGCTGGTATGGACCGAGCAGGGGTCTCGGCAAGGGCCCGGAGTACGGGTACCCTCCGTGGAGTACTCCGCGGACAGGAGGCGAGAGCGGTCGAGGTTGGCAGGATATGGGGCAAGGGTCGGGGACCCAGCCTGAGTACCAGGGGAACCATCAGGAGGTTACGGGCGACTGGCCCTACCCTCCCCAGCAGCGAGCCGCGGGCAGCCACTACCGTCAAGGCTCGAGGAATCCGCCACCACCACCGAACACAGGCAAGTATGAGTATCATAACCCTCTGTATGAGACTGAAGAGGAATTGGTATTTAGAGCTAAACCGCCAGTGATAGAGTTTCCCAAATTCGACGGCTCGGGAGATGTGGGTTTGTGGTTGTATGTAGCTGAGAGGTGGTTCAGAAACCACCCGATCCGAGAAGAGAGGAAGGCGCACCTGGCATCCTTCTATCTCGAGGGGGATGCGCTCTAGTGGTGGGAATGTGATAGAAACCTATTTCTAGGGTTCTATCGATTAGGTTGGAAAATTGGGAATTGGTAGAGATTTAGGGATTTAGAATAGAATTGAGAATTAGAAAGAAGAATTTAGGGGTTGAGGAAGAACAGCCGAAGCCTTTGAAGAGAGATAGAGAGGGACGAGATTGAGAGAGAAAGAGATTAGGGTTTGGGGAAGGATGACTTTTCTATTAATTTCTGCTTAATCGAACAAAATACCCAAAGTACATATATATAGCGAAAGACTGGAAAACCTAATAGACTATCCTAATATGACTCAAAGACTACTACCATATCTAGATAAATCCTAATAATATTAATTAATGATAATTATGATAGAACCTAAAATTAGGTTTCTATCAGAATGGACCGAGAGGGCCTATGCAGCAGCAGGTGAGTTTATCTCGTGGCCCAGGTTCCAGGATGAGCTACGCTACCAGTTTGGCAAGGCGGAGGGGTGGGCCCCGGAACAGTTGGCCAAGCTCAGACAGACAGGGTCGGTGGTCGAGTATCGCGCGGAGTTCCTTAAACTGGGAAACCAGTGCAAGGAAATGACGGAAGAGACCCTGGTGGGATTGTGTATGGCGGGACTCCGCCCGGAGCTGGCAACCGCCGTGAAGGTTTTCGAACCTGACTCTCTTCGAGTTGCTTTCAGGATTGCAGGGCGCAAGGAAGAGGAGCTGGCTAGTTGGAGGACGTCGGCTGGGCGTATCCAGAAGGCCAGTGGAGGAGTGGGAGCAGGAGCTGGTACCTCACCGCCGACGGGAAATGCAAACCCGGCGGCCACCGGCGCAACAGCAGCGAGCAGATTCCAGTCGAGGCTGCCACCAAAGGGGTTTGTCCGGCTAACGCAGGCAGAAATGGACCAGAAGCGCAGAGACGGACGTTGCTTCAACTGCGACGAAAGGTATACAGTGGGCATCAATGCGCCAAGGGTCATCTCATGCTGTTGGTGGGGAACTGGGAAGATGAAGGAGAGGAAATGGAGGCGCGAGAAGCGGAAGAGAAGAAGGAAGAGAAGAAAGAAGGTCCACCTTGAGGGCAAGGTGGGTTCCAAGGGGGATGGAATGTCAGACAATGAGTAATTGGGGGTTTATTTGTTATTTGACGTTTTATATTATGTCGACTATTTTGGGAACTATTGGGGTTAAATCGGTTAGGTTAAGTCTTTGGGTAGTTATAGGGAATTAGTCGGTTTATATATTCTGTGTTAGACATAAGTTAGGGTTAAGCAAAAACAACATAATTATTCCCTAAGCTCTCTCTCTCTCTCTATCACAGCCGAACCCCCTCCTCCCCTCTCCAACTCGTCGGCCACCATCCCGGTGTCCGGAAACCTCTTCTCTCAACCCTAATTCCCAAATTCTACCTCATCCCAAATCCCTAATTCTCATACCAATCACGATCCTCAATCGCACACCTAGATCCGTGCTCTTTCAGAATGCATCTCACTTCGATCTGAATGAGATCAACATAGCTGGATTCGATTTTTTAAGCGCAACATAGTGTTGTTATCACAAACATGCGATTTAATGTAGAAATGTTTTGGTGATCTAGAATCATAAAACCGTAAACAAACTTTTAAGTTTATGCCGGATTTTGACTACACTTGGTTGCTGTCGCTTCCGAGTTAATGTGCAGAGATTTGGTGTGAAACAGAGTAAACTTAAATGTTCCACAGTCTGCTCTTAACTTGATGAACCTAGTTGACTTTATGCCAACCTTGGATGGAAAAAAAAAAAAAAAAAAAAAAGGAAGAAAGAACCCATCACTTGTTGTCATGTATGTACCTATGGCAGCAGCATTGTATGAAATTCACCCGAAAACTTTGATGAATTTAGGGATGGCAAAATAACTCATTATCAATGGACATCCAACCGAATACAAATCAATTTGGTAAGGGAAAATTCAATTGATATTCCACAAACTCGACAAAGAGAATAATGGGTTTGGACTTTGGTGGTTTGACACTTTTAAGTATCCTCTCTGAACTACCCAATATATGCTACAACTATTATTAAACTCGGTCACCTCAACGTTTCGGTTATTCATTTCACTCAAGTATTATAATTATCTCTTACACAAAATCTTACTTATTTCCCCTCATTTTTATAGACAATGATTTAAACTCAAAAGTAACATTGACATTCTAAGAAAAATTTCACTTTGTATCAAGAACTTTATATATGATTATCCGGGGATGGTTCGAATGAGTTTTCACCAAACCGCACTCGATTAGATTTTGACATATCATTTTACATCTTCACCTGCTTTTGATTTCTGTAACGGTTATGATTTTAAAACCTAAGATCGAGAATCGTGTATAAGAAAACCGGCCCACCCAAACTAGTCACCATCTCTAGATGAACCAAATTTCACATTCTGAAATGGGATTTTTTAAGGATGTCCACTATCCCCTAGACGCTATATTTCTGAATTATCCGAAAATAGCAAATGTTGAATATCCAACATTCGACATCGGGAAATACTCAACAAGTGCATAATGCGGTTAGTGAAGTTATTTGTCTCTGATGGCTGCTTAGCGAGCTTGGTGCCTCTCATATGCACCTACACCTCTTTATTGTGACAACCAAGTTACCATTTACATTGCAGCAAATCATGTTTTTCACGAACTTACTATGTAGATGGAAATGAATTGTTATTTTGTTCAAGAACGTGTAATGTCACGTGATGTGGCTCCATGCAAGGTTAGTTTGCAATTTCAGATTGACGATCTCTTCATCATAGTCTTTGTTCCGAGTGGTTTCAGTTCCTGTTTTCCAAGTTGAATTTCATGACTTCCACACATTGACGTAGCTGGGAATGTAGTTAACTGAGGTCTAAAGATAATCAAATTCAATGTGTGATACATTGATAAAAGTATCGTCTTGGGTCCCTAACTTCTCTTGATGAAGAGGGTTATATATATATATCCATCGTGTGCAACGGATCAGGCCATTAATTAAATAATAAAACTCTTTCGTTCTGTGAATAATCTCACACCGTCATACTAAACCAAGTTAAAATTGTTGTGTCAATTTTAGTTTTCGTGTTATACTCGATTGTATTCCGAATTTGATTAACTATCCTTATTTTTTTCCGCCCTTAAATTCGACAAGAAAGGGTGTAAGACGCCAGGATGTGACAAGCTCAAATAAAACCGACATATATGTCTCATCTCAAAGTTTTAAATCCAATCATTGTAATATAATTTGACTTTACTACGATGTGAGTTTCGAAAACCTTGTGGAATTTCGAAAACATAACTAGTATTTAGTTAGTTAGTTTTCTCATTAATGTTTCTGCAATTGTCTAGGATAGTGATAATTTCAAAGGATGAAAATGAAAGTCATTTCTACCCCATTCCATTTTAACCATTCTCGAGCATTAAAATTCAAACCAAGACAACAACCAATTTTCGGTTGAGATAAAAGGGTGGGGAAAAAAACAAAAGAAAAAAAAACAAACCAAAGCACCTCAAATTAAAAGTTTATCATCGCAAATCGAATGAGATGAGAAGAAATCATCAGGATCACATTCTCCTTCGTTGGAGATTGAAAGAGAAAACGAAAAGAAAAGTTTTTCCAGACATATTGTTCAAACAACCTCAAAGAAAGAAAAAAGTGCGGGAAACTGTGGAAGCAAGGCATCAACGTGACGCTATCACGACATGTTGCGCTGGGTGGAGGAAGCCCAGTTGAAACAACGTTAAACCAACAATTGGGTTCATCAATTCCTACAATTCTGGTAATTTTCGAAAATTTTCTGAAAGTTGTATTAGTTTTTATACTCAAGGTCTTTTGCCTAATCCGTTAGATGATTTAATATTTTTCAAAGTTGTATTTTGTCTATACGGATTGACATTTCCAAAATGACAATTGTTCATAGGGGTATTTGTTGAGATAATATCCAAGGATAATTTGGTCGGTTTAAAGGGTTAATATTATTGCAAGATTTGCATAATTGCATTTGTACATTAATTTTGTCGCTTGTGGTGGATCGGAGGAGAGACCATAGACGAGTTGGGATAGACAATTGGCATGACAAAACTATTGACCCATAGGGTTCTATATTAATAATTTTACTTATGAAAATAAAACAAGAACCAAACATTTTCGTATTCCTATCAACTAATGCCTGGCTTGAGCATTTTTAAATTTTTCTATGTCTGCTTTGTTGGTCGAGATAATAATAGGGTAGTTAATTTGATGGCAAAAAAAAAAACTATTCTTTCATTCTTAAACTTGTTGGAGTTTGATTTGACATTCTAGATTGTGGCGGTGTAATGATTCTCCGATCTTATTTTTCTCAATGATATGAATAATCTAATGGAAAAAATATTGAATTAGAAAACTAAAGAAGCTCATTATGTGATCGTATTTTTTTCATGGTTAGAATATTTGAAGTATCTATAAACTCCACAATTAAAAAGCGAAGATAAGATATGACTTTAAATGTCAAGAATCCAGTGTTCGATCCCAATAATAAGAGGTTGGAGAATTATCAAAAATTCAAAATAAATCTTCAATGCATATTTTAAGTAGACAATAGCTAGTAAATTATACTACATGAGCTGAGGAGAGGTAGGCACAAGCAAGGCACTGAACAAGAAGGGAATAATACACGCTCAAAGTGGCGCAAGAAGTAAATTATACTACATGAGTTCAAGTACCGTATCAAAAATACAAGAAAAGAATTCAAGTATATAAGTGTCCACCAATCCTAATTAGTACTAGATTTATTGTCAAAGAAACCCAAAAATAAACCCCTGCATATTTGGTCCAAGCAAACAATATCGTACTAGTTGGCCTATTCAATTTAATAAGCGGTATCAAAATATGGGTCAAATTCCGTTCGGAGCAATGGACGTCGATATGGTGAATTCTCATTCAATAACCTCGAAATTTACGATATACATATAAACTTTTTTTTCCCAATCACAATTTAATGACATTCACATTACAATTCTTTCCATGTTTTTCTTGTTTTTTTCTTGGAAACCAACCTTTCTTCATGATCTTTGTTGAGATATGAATATTATATGATACTCTACATGATAAAATGGACAATTGAACAACTGAAATCTCATTTTATTGGGAAGTTCTGAGTGGTTTACAACACTCATGTTTCGTGCCATTTTTTCTGATTTTCTTAAATATTCCTTCTAATTTCATTTTTCATAGGTTTTGAAGAACAATTTTGGTACATCCAAAATACTTATGCGATATTGGTAATATTCCAAAATCCTATGGACACATTTCATTTAGGTGATTTCTACACACAATAACAAGCCCAGTGATGCCTGCATTTCTTTGTTTGTTACCTGAACAAGAAAACAAAGCATGTCTTCTTCAAAATGAAACCCAAATATAGCACGAATCCTTCCCTTAACTACAATTTCGTGCCCTGACATAACACATTGACAAAAGTCGATTTTCCCACCTTTTTTATTCTGTTACTGTGAAGAGAAAGGAGAAAAGAGATAGATAAATAAATAGAGAGAAAGCTTGCTGTTTTGGTACTCCAAAGACCAAGTCCTAAGAACCAATTAAACCAAAAAGAAGAGGGAAAGGAAAAGGGTCATTTTCCAATTCAGAAGGCCTGTTGGTATCACAAGCTCTTCATATTCTCCCCTACTACGAAAAAAAATCAATTGACTTCATGTGTAGGCAAAGCTATGTTACACCGAACACATACAGAAACACCAAAGAGGAGAGAACATAATCGAATTAAAAACAGAAAACCCATGAAGAAAGTTCCAATCTTTTTTGTTTTCTTTGTTTCATTTTGCTTGTAGGGAGCTGTCTCTCTGCAGCAAAAAACATGTTTATGTTGATGGTATAGGTTTGAATGTCACAATTCCCCTCCCCACCTTCAGTCCTAAGCCAAAGGCAGTTTCTAAGTCTGAAGTCTCTTTCAGCTTAACAACCCCCCGTCTCCATTCCTTTCCTGCCTGCAATGCCTACTATATCCTGCCACAGCAATTCAATTCAAACCAATACATGTATGCATCATTACTCAATTATAGCTCATTTACTAAGCAAGTTTAGGTAACTGATAGGTACATTCAACTCCTATATCCCAAAGCCGTCTCTAACTTCTCTTGTCTGACCATCCCCAGCTCCTGCTGCTGCTGCTGCTGATCATTTCAGAGGGGAAAGAAGAAGAAAAGGAGGAAGAAGAGGAGATTTGAGAAGGAAAAAAGGAAGAGCAGCTAGCTTGTAAGATTAGCTAGCTCCTGGTTTTGCTGCAGCAACGTTGAGGCATCATCATCTCATTGATTGAAAATGCAGCTCCACATATCTCCAAGCTTGAGGCATGTCACGGTGCTTCCAGGGAAAGGTGTTAGAGACCTCATCCAAGTCAAAGTTGGAGGCAAGAAGGTATCGTATCGAATGCTCTTGTATTCGCTTCTCTTCTTCACCTTCCTCGTGCGGTTCGTGTTTGTCCTCTCCACTGTCGACTCCATTGATGGCGAAGCCAGATGCTCCTCTCTTGGTAGGTTAACTTATCCTACAAGGCATGAATACAACATGTTATTGTTACTATCTCCCTGCAGAATTTACACTACATGTTGTTCTATAATTATTAGGCTATGACATGGTCGCATTGCATATGGGAGGGACACAGTAAGAATCAGAGGATAGAAAGAAGATAGATATGGCTGGATTTCAACTAGTCTGCTTAACTATGAACTTCTTAAGCTGCATGGATTTTCTTGGCCTGAAAATGCAAGTCTGTGATGTTCATTGTTCAACTATCTGAAAATGAAGAAAAAGAAGTTGACATTGACAAATAGGCCCTCCTCAGGACCCCTCATGGGTGCTGTTATTTTGTGTTAGGGGTTGCATAATTGGTCTGCAAGAGAAGCGTTTGTTATGTAATAAAGTTTGACAATCTCCAAGCTAATACACGCTGATTAACTTAATCAACCACTGCAACATGACCAAATTATACTAAAAATTATTAATCACCCCTCTTGATTGAGATGCTTCCGCTTAATGACAATGATGTTGTCATGGCTAACTGCATAGGATTGATCAGTTAGTTTCCTGATCTATCTGTCCTTACTGTTGGTTAATCTTTTCCTACTGCAGGTTGCTTGGGGAAAAGAATAGGGCCAAGGTTACTAGGAAGAAGGATGGACCAATCTGTAATCTCCTTACCTTTTTAATGGTTAAGTTGCTATTTGTTCTTTTCCCCCTTTCCATTAGATGAAGTGTACTGATTGTGGAACTGGTGGCTATGGCTTATCCTATTCACAACTAGGTTCCTGAAGTAATGTACAAAGTACTAGAACAACCCATTGACAAGGAAGAACTACAAGGAAGAACAGACATACCTCAAACACTCGAGGAATTCATGGCAGAAGTCAAGGATTCAAGATTTGATGCCAGAACTTTTGCTCTCAAGCTCAGAGAAATGGTATTCCTTTCCTTTATATACACATCTGAGTTTCCAAAAGAGCCAGAAATGTCTCAAACTCAGTTCAAGATATCTGATCATTTTTTGTTTCTTCTTCACAGGTTTCACTAATGGAAGATAGGACGAGAACAGCGAAAATCCAAGAGTATCTGTACAGGCATGTAGCATCAAGTAGCATACCAAAACAGCTCCATTGCCTAGCCTTGAGGCTGGCGAATGAGCACTCTACGAATGCAGCCGCCAGGCTTCAGCTCCCTTCAGCTGAGCTTGTGCCTGCTCTAGTTGACAACTCTTACTACCATTTTGTACTTGCTTCAGACAATGTCCTTGCAGCGGCTGTAGTTGCTGCATCCATAGTCCGAAATGCATTGAGGCCACAAAAGTTTGTGATCCACATCATAACAGACAGAAAAACTTACTACCCAATGCAAGCCTGGTTCTCCTTGCACCCTCTATCTCCTGCAATTGTTGAGGTCAAGGCATTGCACCATTTCGATTGGTTCTCAAAGGGAAAAGTTCCTGTCCTTGAGGCAATGGAGAAAGATCAGAAGGTGAGGTCACAGTTCAGAGGTGGGTCTTCTGCAATCGTTGAGAATAACACCGAGAAGCCTAAGGTGATCGCAGCCAAGCTCCAAGCTCTTAGCCCCAAGTACAACTCCATGATGAATCATATCAGGATTCATCTGCCTGAGGTAAAACCCCTGATCAATGTGCAGGAGTTGGTTCTTACTCTATTAAGTGTGTGAGTCTATTTTCCCTCCTTTGAACCCCATTTTGAGAAATGTGATGGTGTTGATTTATTTCTATCAACCTGCAGCTTTTCCCTAGCTTGAACAAGTTGGTGTTCCTAGACGATGACATTGTGGTACAGACCGATCTTTCGCCACTTTGGGACATCGATCTGAATGGGAAAGTGAATGGAGCTGTGGAGACATGCAGAGGGGAGGACCAGTATGTAATGTCTAAGAAGTTGAAGAACTATTTGAACTTTTCACATCCTTTGATAGCTCAGCATTTCAACCCTGAAGACTGTGCTTGGGCGTATGGAATGAACATCTTCGATCTAGAGGCTTGGAGAAATACCAATATCAGTAACACTTACCATCAATGGCTTGAACAGGTAAGCATCATCTCTAGATGATAAAAAAACCATTATCACCCAAATGTTTTGCATTCTTCTGAGTTCTGATAAATGAAGCTTTCCTCTTTTGTTCTGTTGTGTTGCAGAACCTGAAATCAGACCTCAGCCTGTGGCAGCTGGGAACACTACCACCAGGACTAATCGCATTCCACGGCCATGTGCAAGCCATTGATCCATTCTGGCACATGCTAGGATTAGGGTACCAAGAGAATACGAGTTATGAGGATGCTGAGACTGCTGGTGTCATCCATTTCAATGGCAGAGCAAAGCCATGGTTAGACATAGCTTTCCCTCAGCTCAGGCCACTATGGGCCAAGTACGTTGACTTCTCTGATAAATTCGTCAAGAGTTGTCACATTAGAGCAGCTTAAGAACTTGACCAAATGGAAAAGGCCAACGACAGCCCACCCAACCACAAGGAAAGAAGAAGAAGACCTCTCTTTCTGCTTTGTATATGAAGGAGAAGACTACAAGTGGATGAAGAAGAGAAGAAAGGAAAGAGGTTCATATGGCAGTTCCAGAACAAGAATGGCTTCAAAAGTTCAGATTGTAACATATTTTTCACTCTTTTCCCTGTGAATTTTCTCCCAGTTCATTCCCTTTTGGTTCTCTTCGAAATTTGTTCTTTTCTTTCTTTTGTAATCCATGCCACTTAGAAATTAGTATACAGAAATAAGTTTTGTTTGGATCCAAGAAAGGAAAAGAATTCAACGGAGAATCAATCATACAAAAGAGAGAAAGGAAAGTTCTTTGTCTTTTTGCCACTTCTTCCTGTCTGTTTATTTTCAGCTATTCAAGGAAGGGAAGGAAGGAATCCATTGATTCATTCCCTTCACTTCCTTCCAGTTACATTGGAGACCAAATCTTTGAGGAACTTGGCAGAGTTAGTGATGGGAGACTTGATAGCCATCAGGTTGTACAGAACAATCTCAACTTCACCAATTGCCTTGAACTGTGAAACAACCTTCATCTCACCTCCTATTTCAACTAGAACACTCCACTTCTCGCCACTCACAATTCCATCCCTCACGCACTTAAAGATCACTCCTTTCCTCTTGCGCAGAACTCCTTGAACCTCCAGCCCCATGAACGAATAGATGACCTCAAAGGAACCCACAAAGCCATTAAGCTCTTCTCCAAAATCACCATCACGCTCACCCACTCCTTCAAACCCCCATCTTGGGTTCAAAATCACAACTGGGTTTGGATACAAACCGTCTGCAACTCTTTTCACGTACACTAGCTGGGAACTCTCTGGAGAAAGAAACACTGCCACGTCAGAACCAGACATTGGTCTCCTGATGTTGTCATAGGCAGACATGTCGACGTGTTCAACATTAGCTGATGATGAAGCAGACAGCTGGAATGCTTCAACTGCAGCATCTCTGAGTGCAGGGGTGGGCCAGAGGATCAGAATCTTGGCAAGATAGCCTTTTCTTTTGATGGGTAAGTCGTTGAAGATGTCAAGAGCTAGTTGAGAGAGGGAAGCAGGGGAATCATCAACCACAGGGATTTCAACTTGGAATCTAGGCTGCTTGAGCTTCTTGGTCCTGCCGACGAGCTTGGGATTGTTGAGGGGCTTCTCTAAGGTTTTGGAGAGGCAGGTCTGAGCTTGGAGGATTGCTTCTTCTCTGGAGGTTGGTGGGTTAGAGGAGGAAGAAAGTGAAGAGTGGACTTGAAGACAGAAAAGTTTGGATCTTTTGTTGGGAAGAAAAGAGTGGTGGGTGATGGAAAGACGATGGAGGTCATTGTTGCGATGGGTCAGGGAAAATGGAAGGGACTGGCTGCCGGTAAAGCTGCGGTGGTGGTGAGAGATGTGTGGGGTTGAAGATTTGGGAATGGAGCTTGAGAAGACTACTGTAGCCCATGGAGGAAAGTGGATATCTTGGTGGAGAGAAAGATGATGAAGAAGAGATACTCAAATTGAGTGTTGGTTGATACTTGCAAGAGAATAACTGAATATGATCCTGTAATGCTACTGCTGAGAAATTCGAAGGAGATATGATATGATTCATGATGATGCATGGCAGCTGCACAACCGTATAATAATTTCAAATGGAGTTGCCCCACAAGCCACAATTTTTGCCTTTTTGACATTCCAATCCGAGATCGCCACTACACTAAGTCGATCAAGGGGTTTAGTTTGATTGAAGGTTCCATCACAAAGTAACCTTTTCAAAACAATTTACTGAAGCAAGATTTGTCCCCTCAGTTGATTTGCCAGTTTTAGCATATGGCATTTGGAGGATCATGCTGCCTGGTTAATGTTCGAGTGATTTTCAAATATGCTCTTTTTAGTCGAAGTTCAAAATTCGCTATGGAAAAGATGGAGATTGTCAAGAAGCTATGGCTGGCTGTCCCTTGCTGGTATGAAAATATAGTTAGAGATCTGCTAGAGAGACTTATTGAAATTTACACGAGCAGAACAGCAATAGTTCTTAGATCATCATACAGATTGGGACATTACAGGGCGACGAAATCACCCCACCATTTCTGAGTTAGAACACACTTCATCAAAAACTAATACAAGACCAAGAACAATAAGAGGATAACACATTACACTTGGATTGCAAAATGCAGGCCTCAGGCACCACACCGGTTAGAGCTTAAGCAACCGGGGGACGAAGCACATGGTCTTGTGAGGTATCGACCGAAGCAGGCGGCATAAACTGCCACATTGCAACACCTGGATAGCCAATGAAAGGTACCAACTTATTGCCGGGAGCTTGTCCTTGAGCTGCAGCAAAGGCAGCAGCTGGAATAGCAGGGGGAGCAGGCAAAAAGCTAGGTTGAGCATTCATGGTTTTCATTTGCTGTTCCAGCTTCTCTTTCTCTGCTTTAAGACGCTGCTTCTCATCACGAAGCTCGTTCTTCTCCACCTACGCAAGAAAAATGGGGAGCTTTCGTTTAGCCAACTAATATACATTTCATCACCCATTTTGCACTTATCAGCGGATGAAAAGTGGAGATAGTGTAGAAGGAAGCCTTTCACCTTCAGTTCTTTAATTTTCTCTTGAAGACTTGAATTTGAGTCCTTCAGCTTCTGTGCTTGACCACGTAATTGATTCACCATCCGGACAGCATCAACTAAAATAGCTGCCTTGTCAGTTTTGGGAGGTCTTCCAGGTTCCAATATGGAGCCTAACTCCAGAAACCTAATATGACAAAATATATTATCGTACTGTGCTGGAAGAAAGAAAGAGAAAAGGGGAGAGGGAGAAGCAACTACTTGTCATTGAGCCTATCCCTACGCAACTTCTCCCTACATGCTTTCGAGCTCGATCCGCTACACGACTCCGACCTACCCCTGCATAGAAAGAGAACAGCATCAAGCATACAACCATTACATCCTTTCCCTCCTTAACTAATCCAATCCACACATTCAGATTTGGAGAGTGAATTGAGACTAAAATATACCAGATGCATGCGTAAAAGCTTCTATCAACCTTCAATGAACAGTTCAATAGTTAAGCACACGGTTGTCAATTAAGCATGCATCATCGGGCTGGATAGTGCAGTTCAATGTACTTGTTCTTAAGCAAACAACCTAACTCTCGTGATCCTTGCTGGAAAAGTAAACAAGTATCTAGGCCTATGTGAATTGCTAGTACTCATCAGTAGAGGGAGAAGAAAAGATAAGCCTTCTAACCTTTTCTTGGAACTTGATTCTTTCTGGCCTTCGGAATCTCCAAATGAGGCATCAATTTGACTAGCAAAGAAGTCAGAAATTAACAAGGATAAGTTGGTGAGCATCAAACTTCAAAACAACAGATAAACAGCAGGAGGCAGAACGACATGGTTACAACAAATACCAAACCGTGAGGAACGCATCAACCTAAGAAAAGTCAGAGCCTATGCACGGCATGGCAAGCATTACTAGTTCGGAACTAGAAAAATGAAACACAATTCCTCAAACCAGCAGTATAGAACACGTCGAGTTGATGTCCTGACAAACTATAGCCGAAACCATTCTCAACTGATACAGAAAACCCAGGTGGTAGCAGCACAGATCGCTTCAGCTGCTGCTTCCCACAAAGACAAAAACTTTACATCAAAAGGAAGACCCTGACCTAACCCCTGCGTGCTAGCCACAAATACAAAGGCAGTCCCCCAAATGCAAAATATTCGCAGCGGAGTGTCTAAGAACAATCCTAGCTAGGTACGGAATCCCTAATTGAGATGGAGAGGGTGAGGAAGCAAGAAAATTAGAAAGAACAACACGGGGGGAGAGAGAGAGAGAGAGACTGAATTGGATACCCGGCTGCATCAGAGGGAGGAGGGGCGTTTAGGGTTTGGACAGGCCAGGAAAAGCCGTTGACCGGAACAGAGAAATTGGTATCGGGAACGGAGATGTCGTCGATGAGGCCGTACTCCATGATCCAATTGGTGTTCTCCGGGGACACCATTTCTGTCTCCGTAAAATACTGTTCCACGGCGGGAGCTGCAATGTCCGGCGATTTGGCGGGGAGAGGGGACGTTTCCCGGGGACGGCGAAAGCAGAAGAAGAGCGGACTGGGGAGCGGAGCGGTGGATGAGAGAGAGAGAGAGAGAGAGAGAATTGGGAAATGCGGAGACGGGACGTGGGCGTTTGGGGTTTGGTTGCTGTGCCGAAAACCAAGCTCAAAGCAGATTCGTTGAATCTATTTATTCGTTGTTGTAGCTAGTTGCAGAGTTGCAGTGCAGTCACTCACTATAATTAGCATGTCAAATGGGCTTTGCTTTTGGGCTTCTTACGCAGATATCAAATCGTGGGTCAGGATTAAATTTTTTGTTGAAATCTGAAAGGTTCCGTGCGTGGATTGTTTTGTTGTATACGTAATTGCTTTGATTCGGTGAAAATTCTGAGTTTAAACTGATTTAAGTGGATTGAAGTGATATTTGATTCTACTAATTATACTCATCGATCCATATCCACATATATGTACATAAATAAAAACTAGCTTAGACCTTGCGCAGTTAGCTTTATTATTGGTATTATTATTAATGTTGTTTTGCCGTTAATTTATAATGTGTTCGGTTAAAAAGCATATACATCACTTATATCTATATTTTGTATAAAAATGCTTTCAACAATAGGAGTCTATTTCAAGCAGAATAGGAGGTAGAAGCATCATACTATAAGAGGTATCTGGTGAGAGAAAATTAGAAAAACCGTTTTCGGAATAACAATGTCCCCTAACTAAGCGATATGAATCTGGGAAAGAATGTGAAAAATTAAAAAGGGTCTTTTGTTGGGAAAGAATTCCAGTTGTATTGTCGAGTTCTTTTGTTGGGGTTTCATCAGTCTTTTACCTTTCTTGGCCATTTCAGTTGTAGGGAAGGGATATGAGTTGATGAGGGCAACAACGAAACCGGGAAAGTACACCAACTGAAAACATGTTACATGTTTTAGCCTGGTAAAGGATATTACTAAGAGTTACTAAAGCAATTAAATCTGTCAAATTAGAAAGAACCGAAACTAAACTAACGCAGGAGGGCTAAATCTTGATTACCCATTATGAGGTTTGACAATGGAGAAATAGTAGGAGTGGTCAGAAGGTTATTAGGAGTTCAGGACCCTTCCTTTCTTGGAATGTTCAATAGGCAATAGCCGCCTATGTTATGCACTTATGCTGGTGTGTGTTTCATGGTGGATTGATGAGTAGTTGCTTATGACTATGTTAGCTATGTTTTGAGTCAAAACTCTAAATCACGTCACGGTAATAGGTAAATTAAGGTCAAAGACAACCACAACACCAACAAATATAAACCAGTGAAGCCAGATTTGAGAAATTTCACCATATGTAATAGCTAATAGTGAAATTAGAAAGGGGAAATAATGTTAATGAAGAGGTAAACACACTAACAAACGATTCAAACAAAAGAGTCGCTTTCTACTCAACCCCACCAAAACATTCAACACAGAAGTGTTGAGGATCATTAATTCACTATATCAAACTGTGTTTAATCACAAAGTCTGCAACTTGTAAACAATGGAAGCAGATAGTGATCCAAAACAAACTTGCAAAACATGGGTTGAACAAACTCGTAAGAATGGGGCTTCAAGAATGATCGTTGAGGCAATATTGAGGGCTTACCAAGAGACTATTTGCTTATCAGTTTGCAGTCGTCGACAGTTTTTCCATGTCGTTGCCTTTCCCGATCAATAACAAAAGTGAGGAAGCAGAGAATGATCCAACAAATGTCAATCATAAAGCAAGTATGCAGGACAAAGGCTGAGCAAACTCATAAGAATGGGGCTTCAAAATTACTGTAAAGATGTTGAGGGCTTAGTATTTTTTCCTTCTCGACCGCAGATGAGGACAGTTAGGCCGCATTGCTGCCTTTCCCGATCAACGATTTAGTAGAAAGCTAGCACGCATGAGCATTTGAGGCCGTAGAAGCAAGAGGATATTGTTATGAGTTAAGCGAGGAAATCAAGAAAAGGGAATCAATGGAGTGGGCAACCGAGTCATCGAGAGCGGCGATAGGGTGTGGCGGAAGAGCGGGAGATAGGGCAGGCGGGAGGCAGTTACAGTTTCATATTCTGGCGCTGGCGGAAAGAAATCGGCGAAATTGTAAAGGGAAGGAAACGAAGGTTTTATCTGCGAAAGGGAGACTGACGTGGATAGATTCAATGTGCAGGGAGGAGTACGTGGCAGTGGTCCAAATCTAAAAGCCTTTAATGTGCAGGGAGGAGTACGTGGCGGTGGTTTTGGGGAAAGAAGGAGGTGAGAGGAAGGAGGAAGAAGGGTTGGGTGGGGTTGGGTTGGGTTGGTTTTAATGATGTGGCGGGTTATAATGACGTGGCGGGTCGGATTTTATTTTTGTTGGGTTATATCCGGTTGATTAGGCAATTCTGTTTGCCACATCATCACTTAACGGACTTCATTAACGGAGTTGGACGGAGACTAACGGCGAGTGACTAAATGTGTCCAGTTTTAGTAATTGTAGTGACCAAATTTGATATTAATTTTTTCTAGTGACTAAACATGTCCCGATTTTGTAATCTCAGTGACCAAATGTGTCTTTAACCCATAATTTTATAGATAGATAGATAGAGAGAAGATTTATATTTTAGTTGAATAATCGAAAAACTCAAATACGAACAAAGACATAGATTCGAAAGAAAAATTAAAAAGATAAAAATAAAAAAGTGGATTATTCAAAGGCTCCTACATGTGAATAACATAAATGAACAAAAAATTAGCCAAATATGTGTCCACAAAATGACAAAAGAAATAAAAAAAATTATGCAATATATGTGGCATTATACAAATTCCAAAATATCATCTAGTAAACCCTAAACCAAATCATCAATATATCTAAAACGCAAGTCACGGAAAAAGTGGGTTACTGTTCATTACGATTTTTTCTCACTAATTGTATTTTGATGTGGGAAACTCCATTATTAGTTCTGTGTTCCCACCCTCCTCCTAGTCATCCATCCCGCGGCCTTCCTTGCCCAAACCTTCCACCTATCCTCCTTCTCATCCCGTGAATATTGAATGCCCAAGGGTTTACTAATGATTAATCTTCTTCTCCTGATTTCTCTATTATATGTGCTGATTAATGGGCTTGGATAGCGTCACAACCCTTAAGGGGTTTGTGACTTGTGAGACTCACTTCCCCCTTCCCAGCCGTCCGTCTCCCTTCCTCACGATCTGGCTGTCTATAATAACCAGGAATAAAAAAGAGAGGTGTTGCACTGGACCTGCTCGCGCCACTCCACCTGTGATGTTATCCGGTTTTAGTAAGGGGAGAGAATTGACCGGGGAGACAAATCAGCAACTTTCCTCGCAAAGCAACCGTTTGCCCCCCTGCCCCCAAACCCTTTCTCCTCCATCTGCTCTGGAAAAAAATCCCTTCCGCCATCGCGGATCAACGTTGTCGCCTGCATTATCTTGCTCATTTCTCTGTTCAGTTTGAAGACTTAGTCGTTTCTCTGTTCAGTTTGAAGATTTGAGTCCTTGGGGTTGTCCTGCTTTAATTGAATTCTCAACTATTCAACTTTTTTGTCCGCCGTCATCCCTTACTACGGTCGTGCAAACCATCGCAAGTGAGGTTTCTAATTTCTTTATACAATAAGTTTTTTTATTCGAAAGTGGTGTTATTGGTAGTGGTACCACTAAAGTGGTACTGGTAGTCGAAGTTCAAATTGGTGGTACTGGTATTAGTAGTCAAATGGGAAGTGGTATCACTGAAGTGGTACTAGTAATCGAAGTTGAAGTTGATGTTACTGGTATTGGTAGTCGAAGTGGCAGTGGTACCACTGAAGTGGTACTAGTAGTGGTAGTCGTAGTTGGTGTTACTGGTTTTGGTAGTCGAAGGTCGTATTAGTCTTAATTAGTAGTTTTGTGTAGCATTGTTGAATGTTTTATGGTGGTATCATTGTAACAATGTAGTTTTTTTTTTGTGTGGTAGAAATGGTGAGAACAAAGATTCCATTCTACGGGCCGACGACAAAAGAACAACCTGCAAAAAAACAACTTGCTACTTATGAATCTCGATTCTGGAAATGCAAGTGATCCCATGTAATTAGTTTTGTTTTTCTTCACTACTCCAACAACTCTTGACGAAAAGCCTCTTCCATGAGCAAAACACTTGTAAATTCATCTTGATTCTGGAAACGCAAGTGACCCATGTTGACCTGTTTGTTGGATGATAGATGATACCGCACTTGTAATTAAAAAAATAACATTAGAGGTCACATTATAAATGTGTATGTACCACTAAAATTGTACTACCACTAGATTACTACCACTAGCTAACTACTAGTACCATTCTCGAAACTACCACTACCACTACGAAACTAGCACTACTAGCTAACTACTGGTACCATTCCGTCTTGGCATTAGTTGTACCATTTAAAAACAATACCAGTTCAACGGAAGTCCCAGCTGCACTCGTTTACCCTACCGAGATTGCTGCTGTAGGCGACATTCTCTATGACGTCGTCATCGTCTTCAACGTGCTCGAGCAGATACCGCTCGAAATCGCCATTGTTCTCCACGTTGACGTAGCCCGTCTTTTCGCAGTTTTCCGGAAGCTCTTCGTTAAGCAGGTCCTCCATGTCGAAAATGCATGCATAATCCACAATGAAAACATCATCACCATTCTCCCCCTCATCGTTGCTTGTGTATGGGACGTTCAGGTCGAATCCAAATAAACGAGTTTGTTCAACTCCCACCCCATCTATGCCTTCGTCGTTGTTGATGTTTCCGTCCATTGTATGCTAGCGGCAGCGTAAAGGTATTGCCGGGGAGTGACGCGGGCGGTTATAGAAGGGGAAGAATCCATAAATGGAAGGGGAATAGACGCAGGCGGTTATGGCTAGTGGTAATTCATCCCACCAATCACGCTGCATAATATTTTCCCATGTATTTATTTTATATTTTCAAATTCTTTCCATTAAACTAGTTACATTTGGTAAAAAAAAAACTAGTTACATAACATCCCTTATATTTTCATATGTATAAGGGAGATGGACGGCTGGGAAGGGGAAAGCGAGTCTCACAACCCCTTAGGAATTGTGACGCTATCCAAATCCGTGATTAATGTCTAATGACATGACATTCTTCTCTACTCTCTGTCGGTTATCCTAACCTTTGTATTACCCCATGTAGACCGCCTAACAACTAACAAAGCATCTCAATCTTTTTAAATTTTCAATTGACTTTTTATAGCATAAGTTGGACCAAACTATCATCCCCTAGCAATACGTTAAAGTTTTGTTAGGTAAGTTTACTTCAAACTAATAGTCTAAACAAATACAACACTTTTCATAACTTAAATTTTATTATTAATTATAACTTGATTTTATGACAATACCACACATTGTGAAATATTAATGTAATGCTTTTTATAATAGTTACGTAAATTACAAATACATACGTAAAACTTATGCAGTGATAGTTACAAATACATACATAAATCTTCTGTAATAGTTAGACACTATGTAAAGTTTATGGAGGGATATCCATTTCTTATATATCAATTAAACAAACATATTACGTAAATCTTCTGTGATATGAGTTTGAACAAATCTCCTTTATTACATAACATTTTAATCAAATATCATATTTTCATAACGTTTTACTTTCTATTAACTAAAATCCCTTTATAATTACCTACAATATTCACCATCTTATCAATTTGGATTATCCAAAAGTTCTTTAGATAAGATAATTAACTCCATTTTAATATTAGATCACATACGAAGATTTGTAACACCGAGCAATAAAAGTTAAACAAATTATAAATACGTCACGTAAACCTTATGGGAAGATAATCATTTCTTAAGTATCAATTAAAAATATATATTACATAAGTCTACCGTAATGAATAAGATAACACATAAATTTTATTTAGGTATTTTACCCGAACTATCTGTGAATTGTTGGGTAATTGATCAAAATGGTCACACAGGTTTATCAAATAATAAAATGGTCACAAACATTTAATACATAACAAAAAGGTCATGCAAGTATCATGTTTTAATAAAACAACTATTTCATGTATTTCCATTCATAAAATTGCTAGTTTGTTTGCTCTAAGTAAGAAGCAATTTCATACGTTGGTTAGGTGGTTGATATTTTGTTATCCATTTTGCACTATTGTCATCAAATTAATCAGTTATTTTGGATGAAAATATGACTAAAAAGAGATAAAATGACTATTTTGTTATATCATGATACGTATATGACCTTTTTGTTACGTTTTAAACATTTGTGACCATTTTGTTACTCGCCCAAACCTATGTGACCATTTTGATTAATTACCCGTGAATTGTTTGATTTCAATTGAATCGCTAAATGAGTGAAAACATTTAAAAAATAGTAAGTTTCTTACCGCTGCAAAGCGCGGGCCAAAAAACTAATATTTTGTATATCAATAATTATCACATTTGTAAACTTTGCATAAACTATATAGAGCTCTAGACAATGAATCAAAAATTGGTCGTTCAACTCTAACCCAATGATTAATTCAAACCAAATTGTTTTATCGAGTGGATTACATATTTGCATTAGCTTCAAATGGCCAATAATACCCCTGCCAGGAAAGAAAGGATATAGTTCCGGTGGCCAGCAGCTACCAACGCTCCTTAGTCCCAGAGCAACGGATATAACTGCCAAAAACCCAAATCCATTTTCCCCCACAGCTCCTTCTCCAACTCCAATGGCTAACTTAACAAACCTGAACCATCCAACAGAATCCATTCCAAACCTTCTCTCCAACATTATCCCCAAACACTCTCCAAACCCTGCACTTGCTCTTCCCACGAAACCTGCTGCTGAAGCAACAATCAAGGAGCAGCAGCCATTGAAGTTGCAAACCTCCAGAAGGCTAGCATTAGGCGGCCTTGTCTCTGTAACCCTCATTGCCAACAATGGAGGTGGAGGAGCTTCTCTGGCTGCAGATAACGGGTTTTGGATCGACGGGCCTTTGCCCAATCCCACCATTGACAACAGTATGAAGAAGAAGTTGATCCACCCTCATCCATCCAAGTTCTATTTCCATGCCCTCCTCTCAGTAACTGCTGCCTTTGTTTTTTTCTTGTTTCTGCAGAAGAGCTTGCAAATGAGAGGACGGGGACTCGTTCTTTCCTGAAGAAAGGGATCTACGTAGCTGACATTGGAGTGAAAGGGAGAATTTACAGGATCAAGAAATCTGCTTTCGACCTTCAGGCGATGGAGGATTTGATTGGTCCCGACACTCTCAACTATGTAAGGAGGTACCTCAGGATCAAGTCCAGTTTCTTGTACTACGATTTCGATAAGGTGATATCTGCTGCTGCTGACGATCAGAAGCAGCCTCTCACCGATCTGGCTGTCAGACTTTTCAACAACTTTGAGCAGGTAGATCGGTTATCACATTTGCCTGATAAGTTATGACTGATTGCAACTGTTTCCTTATTATGCAAATGCAATGTGATCGCAGCTAGAGGAAGCTGCAAGGAAGAACAGCCTGCCTCAGACAGTGTCATGCTATCAAGACACTAGCTTGCTTCTCAAGGAGGTGATGGAGACAATGGCCTAGAAACTAAAAAATTTCCTGCACCATGGTGACGATAATGTAACGTGGTTACCTGCATTACAATCTATTCCTCCTGGAAGGAAAATGCATCTTCGTAACCTGTTCTATTGCTTTGAAAAGCTTGAGATTCGCACATTGATGATTTACAGTAGTGTCAGATGAATGAATGAATGAACCAGGTGGATTGAAAGAAGTCACAAGAGAGGAAAGCAAGCAATCAGTATACAATAGTGACAAAAAAGAATTACCCTGTCTAAATGACCTTACAAGACACAGCGAAGTAGTTTCTTCTTCTACTACTGCTACTACTACTATACACACTACGAGCATGGTTGGTTAGCTTTTGTTAATAGTACAGGCTCTGCTCCCCCTCCACTTCCCTCTGAAAACTTAAATCAATCATCCATGGTAGTGGCAGAGTAAAATGTAATGCAATTGGGTGTGGCCGGTGGCATAGACTAACCATCTCTCAATTCTCAGCCCAGGCTGAAGCGATAGTCTGGAGATCGTAAGTTAGCCTGGCGTCGAGGAACACCTATCTCGCAGGCATTGACCCTGGATGCAAATCTGAGTGAGCATAGTGACTCGCCAGATGATGATGCCTCTGGTGATATATTTACAAACATCAACGTCTTTGAGTCTCCCCCCAGACATGGCTGCAAAAATTGAACCAACACCAAGTTAACAAAAACAAAGACAACCCAACCTATCATACTTAGAATTGCCAAAAACCTTTGCCGAAGAAACAACTTCTGAAGCCATGATCACCTGGAGCAGATATGTGAGCTTTGAGTTCCTAAATGGTACAAAATCTTCCTTCTTTGCCAAGGCAAATATGACATCACTCAGTGATGACAAACTTTTGTTGATTGCCTGATAAGAACACGGAAAAGAGGAGGGGGTTGCTCCATTAGTAGATGCAACAAGGATAAAATGAAGGGGGTAAAACATAAATATGGTGAGATCAGTTAGGCTTTTTTAGTAAAAAACCTGGGTTTCTTTCAATCGGTCACCAGTAGAACCACTCTTGGAAAGGCGCTCACTTCCAGCAAGATCAATCAGATTCAGAACACTCTGTACTTGTTGCTCAGTGCTCTAGAGGAGAGCAACAAACACCAGCCATTATTCAGTTTCAATGTTTTCAGGAAATAAATAAATAGACAGAAGAAACATACACAGATCAATGGAAGCATTTACCTCATTAACGCCAGATATTCGTAGGGTGAAAACGAAATGACTTCTTGATGATTGCTCATTCATCTGTGTCTTGCCTACTGACCTGCAACATTACAAAAATGAGGTACAGTTCTTGGATCTAACCATTTAGCAAACAAGATCATTCAAAGAACTTAAATAAGCTCAAACAGCAATCTGTCTGAGCTAAGAAAAATAGCATTCTCCCTTAGCTAATAACTTCTACACTTAGGCCTTAGCCAAGTAGCAAAGTTTAGAATGGGACATTATCTCAAGACTATTACCTACTGTGAGCTGCCCGGTCCAAGAGATATGAGACCTCCCTAGAACTCCGAACATCAACAACAGTAAGGTCAGAGACAGTTGTGTTCCCGTTCAGATCATGCTTGATTGCATATTGCTTTCCATTCGGAGTACCGTCTCGAAATGAATCTCGATTGGTTGATAGCAAGTCCCTAATGGTTTCATTGTAAATCTCCAACATTGATACCTGTTTTGGGTTGCAAAAAGGAAAAATATTTCACTGTTGTTGTTCATAGAAGTAGTTGAATCTCTAGTTACATGCAATACAGTCTAAGAGTAAAACTGGCATTGCCCTCACCTGCATTTCGTACTTCCAGCCCTGTAACTTAAGGGCCTCCCTTGTTTGGAAGATTTGTTCCAGCGTTCGGGGAATCAGTCCCTTTTGCTCTGGCTGCCCTGGTTTTCCCATCATGGTGTAAGTCTTGCCAGATCCTGTTTGCCCATAGGCAAAAATACAAACCTACAAATTAAACAATTAAGCGCATGAGCACAGGCATGCAAAACTAACAGGTTGAAACAAACTGGAGATTCTCATAGATTGAACAGTATATATCATTGCTTCCGCCAACTCCAATCTCAAAACAAGTACCTTGTAACCATCAAGAGCACTTTGAACAAGCTGTGAAATTTCCACAAATACATCCTCTTGTGATGCCTCGGGTGCAAAAACTTGGTCAAAAGAGAATGAATACTTTTGGCCTGAAGGCAATGCAAACAAGCAATTAGTTTTAAAGTCTCTACTATCCAAATCGACAACACATTATAACATTGTCAGGTTTTAAAGATGTACCATTTTGATTTAAATCAATGGCACGTCCAAGAGCTTCTAATGAATTGGGATAGGAGAGAACTTTTCCATCATTTCCAATACCATCATCAGTCAACAAGGGCCTCACACGGCAAAAGACGCGAATGTTTCCTTTCAGTTCCTTCAGCAAAACACCTTTATGTAAGATGAAGATATTGATCCGGCCAAAAAAACTAACAGAAAACTAGACAGCTAAAATTTACCAATATTGTATTATGTAACTTCTTCCGAAGTTGCTCCCCTTCAACAACTTTCTTTTCAGCATCGTCCAACTGACTTTGTAATGTTATTGCAAGTTGTTTTTGAGCTTCAGACTCTGTCCTTGTCTCAAACACAGACATGTCAGACTCCTGAAAGGGGGGTATACAGTTCATCATCTCCAAATGATTCCGACAGTAACTCATGACAATAATTACTGATAAAGTAAAGACAAATGTGAAAGCATGAGATAAGCACCCTTAATCTACTCTCAGCGGCTTCCAATTTGTACTGCAACGTCCTTATCTCATTATTTTGTAACAGATACTTTTCCTGCAAACATTTTATCATTAAGTAGAACATCAGAGTCATGGGATTACAGATCATATTAGGAGAAGAAAGTGTACAAAAGTAGACCTCGAACTCATTTGACTTTTGCGACTGCTCCTTGTAACTAGCCACTTCAGCTGTCAAATCTTGCACTTGCAATGTAAGTCGATCTCGATCATCTCTCACCTGTTGCAACTCTCCCTTTAGAGATGCAACTTGACTCACCAACAAATCTTTCTGCTTCAGAGCTTCGTCTGCAGATTCCTATTAAAGTTAACCAACAATAAATAAGGGCTTCTGGCCACCTCATATGTTTCCAAAAAATAAAGTCGGAATAATATGCTAAAACCAACCAATCTACTATAGAAATGTCTAACCGAACAAATTTTGTGCATTGGATCGACAAACATGTTTAGTCCTTCCAAGACAGGTTTGTAGTGCACATTAAAGAGAGCCACGGTCTTCTCTGGTAAAGTATTCCCAGAACTTTGGGCAAATATAATAGCAAGTAAATTTTCTGTTTCCGGGAGATATTCACTTAATCACTGCAGAGACAGAATTTTTATGCTCAAGGATGAGAGTCTGAATAAGCTATTCCTTTAGCTACTGCAATAAAGGGTGGTCGACTAACACATAAATGGTGAATCCTGTCCCACTCAGCATACAAATTATTAGAGTGTTCAAATGCATTAAAAGACTCTAATGCTAAAATCATATCTATGAGATCATCTTTCAAATGGACCCAATTTCATTAGATTCCTGCATAAGTTTCCTTAACGGACTAACAACATCACAAACTGGAGAAAAAGCTGACATCTCTATACTAAGCACCATCCAAATCCCAAGCTTTATTACCAGAAATGTCAGGTTAAAGTTCAATTAGCTTTGGTGCTAGACTTCCTATCTCAAATGCATAAACTCATTTGTCAATTAAAAGTGAAAGGAAAAACAGCAAAGCACAAGTATTCAGTAAAACCCTGTCACATCTACTTATACCTAGACAATGAAGGCACTGATGACCAATTACTTGGTTTTGAAAGGAGACAAAGTATCAACCACAAATCTTTGGTTCAATTACAGTGCATAATACTCCCTCCCAACTAAAAGGACACTATTATAGCACTGTTCGTGTTGATCCAGTGGCCTCAAAATGGCAGCAACTTCAAGCAGTTAGTAAAGGCAGCAATGATATATGTCAAAGAAAGTAATTCATCCAAGAGCATAACAATAAAAAAAAAATAACATTCTCACTTTGCATGATGTGTACTGCTCTTGCAATGACTTGAATTGACCCCTTAGGTTCCCAAGGTTTTCCACTAGAGCAACTTTCTCTTGTTCTGCACGCTTGAGATTTTCGTGTGTCATATCAAGATCTGTCTGAAGTTTAGTGTTATATAGCTGTAAGCTTGAATTATACTCTTGTAACAGCTTGTACATGTCATTCACTGAAGTTATCTGCACAGGCCAAGAAACCCAGAAAGGTACGAAAGCTAAGTGACCTCTCTTAAATGATCAGCACAAAGCACATGTTTACTACTATGATGCATTTCTTCAATTACCCGCTGATTCGCACTTTGGAGCTCTCCTTGAACCTTACCAAGCTCCTCAGAGATGGATGCTTGCGACTTCTCTGTTTCAGTTCTGGCCTCTTTCTCTTTCGAAAGAGAATCTATTGCAGCCTGGTAGTTTCATGACAGGATTTGGGTTAAGCATGGCGACAAAAAGAAAAGCTAATCGACACTTCCAGAGAACGTCAGAGGACATGTCTGCCCCTACCATCTTCTCTAATTCTTCCTTGGAGAGTTTATCTTGTAAAGAAGCAAGACTCTTTCTCAACTCCACAATGATCAAATTCAGTTCTTCTTCCTTGTTCTTCAAGACCAATTCTGCAATCAATAGCAACAATGTTTGCATCAGGAGACACATTCAGAAATTTCAGAAGAAACAAAAGGCTGTTAGGAAACAAAAATAGTTAATCCAACCTGATTCAGCACATCTACCCTCAGCAAATTCCAATGCGGTAAGCAATTTCTCCTGCTCAAACAGGTAATTCCCTTCTACATCTTGAAACCATCTTATACAAAGCCTCAGCCTCCTTATATAGTCTAACATAGTTTCACACCTCTCCTGCAAAGAAAAACATTATTGGGTTTGCCAAGTTTTTTGCCATCAGAAAACAAGAACTACTGACCAGGACCACCTTTTGACGACAACCTCAAAACCCCATATAAAAAAGCAAAAAACTTGGCTAACCTTGTAATTGTACTTGCTCTTGTATCTCATTTTCTCATTCAACAAAGTCTCAACATCCTCTCTAGTGAACTCAATGTTGGCACCATACTCTGATCCAGCATTACTTGGCGGGTCACTACTGGGAGCAAGCTCCTGTTCCCCATTCACAATAGAGAATGCTAGCCTCATCCTTCCACTAACATTTCCTGTTCCAACCATTTTATCAGCTCCAAGCTTACTACACCTTCTGTGTGAACTCAGCTCATGGCCTCCAATAGACTTCCTCTATATTCAATCCACCCCATGAGAACAAATAAAACGGAAAGTTACAGTCAGAAAAACAAAAAGATTCTCAAGTTCAGCCAGAGCAGAGCACCCATATTCTCAAACAAACATCGCTTTTGAAAGGAAAGAAAGAAAAACAAGAGACAAGAAAGCGAAAGAAGAGAAACTGTGAGAGGGTGCGTGTAGTACAGCCTCAATCCAGCGGGGAAGCCTGGAAACGTACGTCACACAAACACACTAGAATGACAAAAAGGAGGAGAAAAGGGGAGCAGGAGAGAGAGAGAGACCCACATGAAAGAGGAACAAAGGAAGCCAAACCCAGATCTCAGAACCCCCAAAAAGACAGGGGGAAGAAGAAAAATGGAAAAAAGAAAGAAAGCTTACACGTGAAGAAGGCAGAGTAGCAGAAATGGGCATGGAGTTGAGTGGTGGCTTGTTCTGGTTTTTACAAGCCATCTTAAGAGAGAGAGAGTGAGTGAGTATTTGAAGTCTCCCTCCCAACTATTTTTTTCCCAGTGGCAGTGGGTAGAACTTAGAAGAAGAAAAAATATTAAAAAAGTATAAAATTCGCAGAGAGATTGCAGGTGACTTGTTGCAAGCGGTGGGGGCTTTGATTGCATCCAAAGCGAAATATTCTGAATCAGAGCCGTTGCTTTGATGAGCAGCAAGGAATAGGAATGAGATTGAGACTATCCATCCAAACAACAAAAACCCAAAACCAGAGAAAATAATACGAAAAAACTAATCTGTGCAGATGCAGAGAGGAGCGAGGAGAGCAAAATCTAGCTGAAGACGAGGGCCAAGGTCAATATTGAATATTCTCTGTTTTTTTTTCCTCTTTTTTGGGGGTTTTGTAATTTGAATTTATTTTTATCTTATGGGGTTCCGGTAATTCTTATGTGTTTTTCTTCTGTTAAGATTTGTGACAAATGTAAAGAATTGGTACGGGTACCTAAAAAAAAAATAAGGAATTGGAATTGAATATGATATATTGTGGGTACAGTACAATTGGGGTTGGTACATTTTTTAAAAAAGTTTGTGATAGGCGGCATCCCGAGATGGGAATCTCGTTGACATTATGCTTCACCCATTTTGCCCTTCTCATTTAGCACATATTATGTACATGCCCCTCTTTCTTGTAGGCCATTAGCAAGGTTGTGAATCCGGTTTGACTTATTGGCCTGATCGAGCAAGTGGGTAGAGGATTAATGAGTTGATTGAAGTAGTCCAGTTTAGTCCGGATTTCTATGAAGAGTTGTGGAAAATCCTAATATGTGTTACATTTTCAGACAATCATTTGAATACTGAAATGCCAAGGTGAGGCTAGCATGCTGATGGTTGTGGTGGCCGGTACTCTGGAGTAGTGCAACAGCCATCTTGGAATCAAGTTGCAGCTCCACTTGGTGATAACCTGCTTCGCACGCTATCTCAAGGCCCTTCATCCCCACCCCGCCAAATCTATGCTCAAGTGATGATATATTTATCATATTCATCGCATAGGATCCTAACAAGCGATCACAGTCTCTAAGGGTGTTGGACTGTATTTTTTGTACACTTTATTATGAGTACCATTTAGTAATTTGGTTAATCCCCGATTACCCTAGGTTACACGGTTAAGGGGTAATTAGTAGGGTTAACCCTTTTGTCATCTCTGTAACTTTGAGGCTCAATTTCTGTTCGGCCAAACTATAGTGAAACCCTCTCTGAGAGCTTTGCTCTCCGTGGATTAGTCCCGTTCATCGGGGATACTGTTGGGACAATCATTAAGGCATATGGGCCTCCGAGCCCATGACCACTAAAAAGCCCAATAAAGCAAACAAGCCCAATCCAGAGGATTGGGAGGCGGTCTACCCGTCGCACCTAATAAGACCGCCCAGCATACAACGGAAACAAAGCAGGACGCCCGACAGAGGATATAGTCAACGTCCTGACAACAAGGTACGGATACTGAACAAAGTACGGACCTGACCAAGCATTTATGAGAAGTCAGAGGCGGTTGAGGACCGCCCGACACAGCGTCAGGCCGCCCGACATAACGTAACTTGTCCTCACTCCTAGGCCCAACTAGTATAAATACCCATCAACGGATCACATTTTTGGTAACTTCTATCTAGTCAATTCTCTCTCTTATTCATTCTATCCACTTCTCTCACTAACTTAGGCATCGGAGGAGGTCCCAGGGCTCCCCTGAGGACCTTTGTTGCAGGACTTCGAAGGTCGCCTCTCATCCTCCTAAGACCGCACGGAGACAGTGAAGCCTCGCAAACCGCCCGGTACTTTCCAGGCATAAACATTTTGGCGCCCACCGTGGGGCCTCTCTACTTCGTCACCGGGAAAAGATGGGAGACGACTTTGAAACCCCGCTCAAGGGTATGACCGAGAACAACACCCTCCGAGGTCTATCGCCGAGAGTTGAAGATGAATCAGAGCTTGAAGAGGTAGTCAAAAGCCAAGGCGTACAAATTGCAAGCATGCAGGATAGTCTGTCGCAAATCCTCCAGCTGTTGAAGACAAGGGAAGACCCGCCCGAGGGGTCGAAGGGAAGAACTCGAGAAGAAAAGCTAAAGGGCGCCCTGATCCTCGACAGCCCTGCCCGGACAGAAGGCGGGGGACAGGAGGCAGACGATGCCGATCTGGGCTTCCTCGAGGAACACCTACGGTCAACTTACGGGAAACACAAAAGCCCCAACGTCCTTCAAAACCCGCTCTCTAAAGAGCTGTTCAAAACCCCAGTACCGCCAAATTTCTCCTCCCTTGGACTACCCGCATATAACGGGACCTCAGTTCCCGCAGACCACCTTTGTGTCTTCATGTTGAAGATGCAACTCATCAACGCCACAGACTCTGATTTGTGCCGCGCGTTTCCCGTCACCTTCAGCGGTCAATGCCGGACATGGTATACTTCCCTCCCGGAAGGGGTGATAGAAAACTTCGAACAATTCGCGATGCTTTTCTCCACAAAGTTTGCGTCCCAGCGGCGGCGCAAACTCACGGTCTCGGCACTCATAAATTGCAGACAAAAGAAAGAGGAGTCGCTCGCGGAGTTCTATGACTGATGGAATGCGATCGCTTGCGAAATAGACGGTATCTCCTCGGTCGTAGCCGCCGGAAACCTCAGAATATCGACGACCAGCATCGAGCTCAAGAGAACGTTGATAAAAAAGGAAGCCATGTTAACCTCATGGTCAGACTTGGATCAATTGGTAAGAAGAGCTATCTTGCTTGAAGAGGCTCTCGCCACCGACGATAGAAGCCATCAGGGACGATCCCGAAACGATCCACAAGAGCGGTCGGACGCTCGACGTGGAAGGCGGTCTCCCGAGCGGAAATCGTATCGCAACCGGTACACAGACCGTGACAGTAAAAGAGAGGTCTACTCCACCGAACGAGAAAGAGGAAGAGAAAGACGAAGGAGCGGGAGAAAACCGGAGGCGTCCTCCGGACAAGAACCACAGGAAGGGAAAAAGTGGTGCGACTGGCATCAAATGGCGACTCATGACACCACGGAGTGCAGAGAATTCAAAGCCAGCTTGAAGTACTTAGCTCCGGGGGATCTACGTAACCGCCTCGAAACACAACGAAATCATCGGGGCAACTCTCAAGAGGGACGGGAAGACTTCCTCACCCCAGAGGCGGACAAACCAAGAAGAGCTCGTAAAGAAAGGTCCAGATCGCCCACAAGGAACAAGATCATCTCGCCACAGAGGCAGTCTCCCACATATCGACCCCCAAGAGGAGATGACGAGGGCATGGAGATCATTACGATCGTAGGAGGTAGGAAGCGGCCCAGAACGGAAGCTGACCGCCTAAGCCACTGCTTAAGCGTCCAACGCCGGGTGCCGTCGGACGTCACCTTCCTACCCTCAGAGCTGGCTAAAGAGGAGAACTCAGAAGACCCCTTAGTCATCTCGTTCCGAACCGACAAGTTCAAAGTCACAAGAGCTCTCGTCGACAATGGGAGCTCCGCCGATATCATCTTCTACTCAGCGCTCCGAGGCATGAAGAAGAGTATCCAAGACCTCAACCCCTCAAACACCAGCTTAGTAGGGTTTTCGGGAACGAAGGTCCGTGTCTTTGGGTCAATCACTCTCAAGGTCACCATAGGCGAGGGAGGAATCACCAAAACCAAGCAGGTGGAGTTCCATGTGGCGGATTGTCCTTCGGCGTACAATGCCATTATGGGACGCGGTTTCCTAGCTTCATTCGAGGCGGTGGCTTCCACGTGCCATCAAATGCTGAAATTCCCAAGTGGAGGGCAGACAGGACGCGTTCGAGGCAACGCGAAAGAGGCAAATGAGTGCTATCAAGCGACCATTGAACGCCTGGAAGTCGACCTCGTCGACGCCAGGGACGACGTTCCTCGACCTGAAGCCGTAGAGGGCGATATTGCGGTCCCCCTAAACGAAGAGCAACCAGACAAGACCGTCTGCATCTCGGCACATTTGGCCGCCGAAGAAGCCCAGAAGCTATTGACACTCCTCCAAGAGTACCAAGACCTCTTTGCTTGGGGACCGGAAGACATGCCCGGCGTCCCCCGAAAGGTCTCAGAGCACCATCTCTCAGTCAAAAGCAAAGCACGGCCAATACAACAACGGAGAAGACACCTATCCGTTGAAAAACAAATGGCTCTCGAAGAGGAAGTGCGAAGACTGCTCAAAGCGGGGTTCATCCGAGAGGTAAAGTACCCCACGTGGCTTTCAAACCCAGTCTTCGTACGCAAGGCAGGGGGCACCTGGAGAATGTGTATCGACTTCACCAGCCTCAATGCGGCATGCCCTAAGGATGCGTACCCTCTCCCACGCATTGACCAGTTGATCGATGGGACCGCCAACCATGAAGCGCTCAGCTTCCTTGACATGTTTTCGGGGTACCATCAAATCAAGATGGCGGAGGGCGACCAAGAAGCAACCGCCTTCATGACCCCGATGGGCAACTTCTGCTATGTGGTCATGCCCTTCGGACTCAAGAACGCAGGGGCAACCTATCAACGAATGGTGGACGCGGTCTTCAAAGATCAAATGGGAAGGAACGTGGAAGCTTATGTTGATGATGTGCTAGTCAAGAGCAAGAAAGCCAGCGACCACCTCTCTGACCTACGGGAGACCTTCGAAACCATGAGACAGAAGAATCTGAGGCTCAATCCACTCAAATGCGTCTTCGGGGCTGAAGCGGGGAAATTCCTTGGCTTCATGATCACAAAGCGATGCATAGAAGCCAATCCAAAGCAGATCGAGGCTATCCGCAACCTGAAGCCTCCGAAGACGATCAAGGAAATCCAGGCGTTCAACGGCAAGATGGCCGCATTGGGACGATTTATTCCGCGGTCTGCAGACAAGTGCTCCCCTTTCTTCCAAATGCTGAAGAAGTCGGCCTCAAGACTTCAGTGGGGAGCAGAATGTGACAAAGCTTTCGCTCTATTGACAAACCAGCTCAGCTCCCCCCCAATCTTAAGCGCCCATGTAGGCGGCGACCGGCTTTATCTCTACCTCGCGGTGTCGGAACAGGTTGTGAGCTCCTCCTTAGTACGAAGAGCGCAAGACGGCTCCGACCAGCCCGTCTACTACGTGAGCAAAGCGCTTCTACCCGCCGAGACAAGATACATGCCGGTCGAAAAAGAGGTCCTCGCCGTCGCCTCAGCAGCCAGAAAACTAAGACCATATTTCCAGGGACATCCCATCACGGTGTTAACCAATCTGCCTCTCAAAAGCGTCATGCGGGGCATGGACGCATCGGGAAGACTGACAAAGTGGGCGGTCGAACTCAGCGAGTATGACATTGAATATGCTCCAAGACCAGCCATCAAGGGCCAAGTCCTGGCCGATTTCATCGCCGAAGGCTTCTCT